GAATTTCTGTAGCATTTTCACGTTCTATATTTTTAAAATTTAGGATGGAATTTACATGCACATCAACGATTAATCTTTTATTATCGTAACGTGAATCGAGTGCTTCATATAATGAAGAAAATGTGTCAAATGTGGAAGCAAATTCTTTTACTTCATTTGAGAGACATGAGTTTAAATAATAAAGTTTTTGCGACTGAGTGAGTTGATCATTAGAGGTGATCAAGTCATCAAACTGATTTTTAAAGGTACTATAGTGTTCATATCTTCCCGAGAATGTTGGAAGTATAATAGGTGGAATTTTTGTGTTAGTTATATTTTCAGTTTGATTACTTTGTTTAACATCGTTTACAGTTGATACAGTTTCTTTTTTAGAATCAATTATAAGTTTGAGGCTTACCTCCAAATCTTCTAGACGAGATTCGCATTGTTCGATTTCTTTTTCGAATTCCTCTAATTCTTGATCAGTTATTTTTTCAATACCGAAAGAATGCACTCTCAATTCATCAAGCTTACTTTGTAATTGTTCGACTTTTTTCAATTTCACTTCAAGTATGGTATTATTAGGAATATCTTCAGATATACTATCGACAAAGGTTTGTATTCGAGTAATATTTCCTTTCAAGGAAATTTTTGCTTTATTTAGTTTCACTATAGTATCCATAGTTGTAGTTTGATTCGAGCGCTCCGTGTGCTCGACGTGCCAGACAATTTCGGCCTAAAACCAACACGCTTGATAATTTAGTAAATACCGACGGATCACCAGCTGCACTTTTTGTTTTTTATTAATAACAACAACATTAAGCATAAACAACAACAACAGCTGGAGATATTGTGGATTTCGAAAGGGTTTAAGAGATATTTATCCACATCTAATGTTTTCGAGTCTCATAGGAGAAGTGATGATTTAATCTCATTCCGCTAGGGAATAACGTGCATGCGCCAACAACACCTGCTATTAAAAGAAGGAAGGGGATCTTTAAGATTGGTGAAATTTTGTTTATTTACATGGGAAGAAACAACTTTAAACTCAAATTTATTCAAACTCTTAGCAATTTGGGAACTGATTTTTAGATGATAAAATAAAACAATTAAATCGTTAAAATTCGAATTTGAGAGAATGATAGATTGTGAGATTAATTTTCTATTGGTGGACTCAATAATATTGGAAGGAAAGCGGTAGTCTACAGTGATAGCTTTAAGGAAAGTAGTTCTTCATGGAGGAGAACTATTTGAGCAAATTTTAGAAGTATGGTAAACAAGTATGCATAAGGCAGCTATCTTTTGTTAGGGGTATGGGATGTTCAATTTGCAATAGTATGTTGCAGGAAATGTTACTTAGTGAGCTACCAAATGTTGCTTTGAAGATTTTATATATTGTTGCTTGTAAATATTATCACTCTGAATACTGATATGTGTTATCTGTTAAAATATATTTTATAATTAAATGATGTATTGTTAATTAATTATCCCAGCAAGCTTGCCAAAAATTTAAAAATCTCTGCAAGAACTTATAATAGTGTAGGAAAATCAACTGTATGACATGTATTCTCCTTCAAGTGTATAATTTTTTTCTATTTTGAATATTTATAAGTAAATTTTGTGTTTTTTTCTCTCTCTATTGAATGCATAAAGCAAAACTAACTTATGCTAAAAAGCAACCATATTTGAGCTCACTCAAAGTTTTGAAATTAATGAGTTTGAATTTTAATTTGTTTTTGTTTCAATTTGTTACTTTAAATAGTTTGTTCAATAATTGTAAAAGTTCTGTTCATTGTTTCATCAATAATTGTAAAAGTTCTGTTCATTGTTTTATTACTGTAGAATATATGTTTTTTACATGGTCAAAATATTATTTTTCTTTTTCAGATAATGACTGAAATAGCACAAAACCAAATTAAAATTTATGAATTTCCAGAGTGTGACGATGAAGATGAAAACAGACAGCTCAAAATCATGAAGGTAATTATTTCTCAATCTAATTTTAAAACTTAATGTAATAAATTATTTAACTTTTTAAAAATTTTTGTTTCATCATTACTTTGATGCAAATGAATCAAATTTGATTTCACAAAAAAAGAAAAGTATTCAGTTTCTTGAATTTTAATTTTTTGCTTTTCTTAATGATTTCTTATTTTTCAACTATTTTTTATTTCATGAAATCTTATTATTATTATTTTTTTTTAATAGTTGCATTACTTACTTACTTATCCTCTACCTGCCTTTGGGCACTTAAGGCCTCTAGCATATCCCTCCAATGCTAGAGGCCTTAAGTGCCCAAACATTCTTTTAATTTTCCCAAAAATATGCGCTGGATGGTAAGTCTGGATCTTTTCTTTGGGCATTCTAAGGATATGTCCGAGCCAGCTCCATCTTCGTTTTTTAATTTCATCTTCTATTGTTTTTATTTTAGCTTTCTTTAATAGATTTTGACTTGATACTTTGTAAGGCCAGAAAATTTTAAAAATGAAAGGTTTCTAATTTTTGTATTTCGATTTTAGTCTGTTTCCAGGTTTCTGCGCCATATAATAGTTGCATTACTCAACATGATTTAAAACCTAGTTAATTTTAAATTATTAATACCCATAGGTTTCATTAAAAAATTAATTGCAATTTAAACTTCAGTAATGCTGTTTAAATTGCAGTTTAAACTTAATATAAAAGTATGTTTTTTTAAATTTCCTTAATATCATCTTAAGTGATAAATTAAATAGTCTTGATGTATAATAGATAAATGTCGGGACATCTAATCAGTAATCTAATAAATGTAAGTCATCAATAGCTATGATTAATAAATTAAAAGCATTTTTTAATTTTTTTAGGACTTAATAAATATGAGCAGTATTTATAATTTAATATATATGAATTGTACCATTGAATTATTCCATCAAATACCATCTTAATTGTAGCGAGTGCTAAGAATAAAAATGGTAATATTAAAACAATCTTAAATTTTGAGATAAATATATGTCAGTGTATTAGGTTACGTTACATCAATTGGTGAATTAAAATGGGTTGATCCACTAATTTTACTTATAAAAATTCAAGCTTTTTGCAACCTATTTTGGTAGTCTTGTGGTTATTCGTCAAGGGACAGAAAGATGACAATATATGTCATAAGTAATTAGTTAGCATATATTTTTCTGTAATGTACGTCATAAATAGGTAATTAGCATATATTTATTTTTTCAAGTAATTCTTAATAGCTTATATTATGTGTTCTGCTTCTGGAATCAGTACTATGTTAAATAGATAGTCAGATGAATACGACTGGAAGTTTGCTTAACCTGTTGAGCAGTTGCTGTATTCTGTTCCATGTTCTGCTAATTTAATTAATGAAAGATGAAACCTTATCTTTAGTTATTATCCTGTTTTTGGCTTGTATTCCGTGATCAGTCTTGTTAAGATTTTGATGCTGGAAATTACAGCATCCCTGAAAGGTGAATGCAGAGAACTTGAATTGTGTGCTGTACTGTATAAACAACTGCAGCTTGGTTAAAGCCTAAGAGTCTTGCTTAGCTTTCTGTTGCCAGCCATTGTACTACCCGGATAATGCCATGCATATTCCCTTTGTGGTTTTAGTGACAAGGTCATGTGTACTGAATGTGTAAAAGACGTTGATGAACAGCCAAGGTGTATTAGAAAAGAACTTTTAGAATAATAAACCCTTTTGCGATGGGAAGCGCAAACGTGCGCTTATCGCTGAGGCCGGCAGTCTCTCTCGCGAGTATCTGTTCAGGGCCGGAGGGTTTTTTGCCGTTAAGCCTAAATTCATGAAATTAACGAAATATCAACGCATTGTTTAATAATGTTCTGTAAAATATTTAAATGAAATATGCTTTATATATATTTCTATAGATACTTTATTTACTTGAGTTATTTCTTGTTTAAATATATATTTTACACCTTTTATTTTCATTATGTACTTACCATTTAATAACTTTTAACATTATAATATCTGAAAACTAAATATATGACTTAAAATTCTTTTTTCGTGTGAGAAACTTGAAATCACTAGCATTGCACTAAAAACTGGACCACAAATCGAAATNTGTACTTTCATCTTGAGTAGAAGGTCAAATCTACATGTATCTGAAACCATATGGACATACAATGCCATCTTCTCACAGAAATTTTATTTTCTAAAACGTTTCAGGACATTGGCACAAATGAGTGATGGCCGGGGGTGAACGAGAAAATGCTCTGGCACACCGGTGTGTCGGTTGGAAAGTAAGTGCGTTTCTTGCTGGCAGTCGGCGCAAAAGGGTTAAACTATGTTCTACAGCTGTGTGCTACGAGTTATGCAAATAAACTATTTAAGTTCTAGCTCTTTGTTCTTCTACTATGTTTGGAATTGTGAACCTGAAGTAAAGAATTGTTTTAATGAACTCTCTCTTGTAGTTAATTACAATCGCCATTACATTTACCATTTATATTTCATGTACTATCAAATGAATTAGAATATGCAAAAACTTCCCATTTTCCATTATCAAAATTTTTCTACAATAAAAATGAGCTAAATCTTCTTTTATACCTTAAAGTTGAAATGGTTGATTGGAATCTGTCGTTTTTGTTCTTAATGCTTCAGTTGTATTTATTATTATGAAAAATTCAGTTTGATATTAACTTGGAGTGTTTAAATTTAACCCAAATACGTATAAAACTGTTGCGTGAATTATAGACTTTTTATGATCTAGGCTGTACTAAGCATTAAATTTTTTTCTTTGCGAGTTGCTTTAAAGGGATGTAGTTTTGTTAAGTTGGCTTTCAATATTTACTTTTAACATATGCTTAAGATGAAGATGTTTCTGAAAGACAAATATTTTTTGCACATATTTTGTTTTTATTTATATATTTTAATTATCTTATTAAAAACTTAAATTTTATTGTTATTATTTAATATTGTTTAACAAACACTATTCTTAGCATTACACTTTCAAAATATAGTTAGTTCATTTCTATATGTAACATAGTGTAATATGAAATATTGCTATTAAAGGAACGGGTGCCATTTGCTGTTGTTGGTAGTAATACGCTCATAGATGTCAATGGAAAACAAGTTAGGGGTCGAAAATACCCATGGGGTGTGGCAGAAGGTAATTTTTTTCTCCATATGATTCGCATGTTATTATGTGAAATGTTATGGACCTATGAATATGACTTCATAATTTTGTTTAATTTTTTTCAGTTGAAAATATGGAACATTGTGATTTTCTTGCATTACGAAACATGCTTTTAAAGTTAGTATATTTTATTTATTTTTCTCTTTTAGATTCCTATTTATAAAGTTGATGTAGTTATTGTTTTCTATCCCATTCTTTATAGCTTAATAAAGGTAATTTAAGAATTAAAGTAGTTTTTAATGTCTTAAGAGCTAACGCAGGTTTTGTTCTTAAACTAAAATAATTAAATGCTCTTCTTATATAAATATTATATTATCATTATTTAACTAAAATTATCGTTTTTTTTTGGAACAATTTAAATTATATGTGCTTCTTATAGTTTAAATAATATATATAATGTTTATTATATAACTTTACTTTAAAAATATATTGTAATGTGTTTTAAGTTAATAGTTTGAAATAAGTAATGCACTTTTTTATTTTTAATACCATTAGCAATTTTCTGAACAAACTTTTGTTTTAATTAAATTAAAGCTAGGAACTGTTGTTAAAAGACAAATTTGCTATCAGTGTTTACAGTTCTGATATTCCTGATTTTTCTTACGTAAAATATTTTGTTCATAATATCCCATTTTCTATGAATACCAATGTGAATCTCAAAATAATGGATTTAAAATTTTTAATCCAACATCTCATTTCATTTAATAATGTTAGAAAAAATCGCAAAATTTGCTAGTTCTAACTTAAAGGTGTAAGAAAATTGAATTATTTCAATTATTAATATTGTACTTGTATTCATAGAAATTTTAAATGATGCATTCAGAATTTATGCACTTAATTTTTATGCGGGCATATTCATTGAATTTTTGTATTAAGATTGTTGAAACCCTACTTTAAAATTATTTAAGAAAATTTTGAACTAAATTAGAAAATTTTAATTAAATAATCGGTATGAGGAATTGCTATTTAATTGTAAGTGCTTATTTTTTTTAATGCAACAGAATTATAAAACTTTTCATGTTTTTTTAAATTTTTTATCTCTAACAATGAGTTGTTTAGTAGTGCTTCATTAATAAAATTATACTCGGAATAGGGAAAACTTTTTGTTCTAAGCAAAGTAATTCTGAAATTAAAAATAATGCATATTAATATTATTTTATGATAAAATTTGATTATATTTTGCTCAGGGTTGGCAGGTTTTTGACATGTGACAGTTTTTGACAGTTTAAACCATGGTTTAAACCGTCACGTCAAAAACCTCACTGTCAAAAATGTCAAAAACCTATATTCATGTGTGAAATTTAATTAATACATAAAATTTATATATTTTTTAAAGGATAGTGTTTCTAAATATGTTCTAGAAAAAATAAATTTAAAATTTTGAAGAAACACTTATATTTTGAATAGTAACCAAAATCTTGTACTTTTGAAAACTCACATCTTTTGTAATATTATGTATTCATTTTCATGTGTTATTGAAAATCTGCAGTGATATTATTAAGAAATTTATTTATAACCAAATTTAGTGTATAGTATAGATTATACTAAAAATTAGACATTTTTAAAGATAAACATTAGCAGTTTTGTACATTAGACATCTTTTAAAGAAAAATCTTTTTAATATTCTTTTAAATCTTCTTAATAATCTTTTTAACATAAGACAATACAAATTTAAGTGCTTTCTGTTAAATACACAGAGTAGTTAGTGTCGATTTACAGTATATTCAGCCTATTCATTTACTATGCTGAAAATTTAGTTTATCCAAATACTTGTGAATTTCATTTTGCTGAATACTATATAGTTTTGTTGAATATCTAAATATTCAGCTGTTGAATAATTACTTCTTGCTTTCAAGATATGCATTATTTGTATTCTTAATACAAGTGGAGAAAAAAAAATTAAGAGATAAAAATTGTTTTAAAATGATAAGTGTAATAATTATAAATAAATATAATAAACAATATGAATTATATTTATCATTATTCATAAATATAACTACTTTTAAATTCAAATTAACATACTGGATAATAAAGATATTCGGTATAACATTAAAAAAAAAATTTTATACACTTGTATCTTATATCAAGTTTGTATTTATACAACATAACTTGTAAGTTCCTTATAAATATTAGTTATATGTTCCTTATATGTCAAAAATGCATAGTAATAAACTTTTAATTTTCTTAAGTATCAAAAAGAAAAAAAAAATTTTTTTAAATATAAATATTTAAACAATTTTTGTGCAAAATTTTTCTGCACATGCATTTGAATATAAATTTCTGAGATTTTAAATCTGTTATTTTACCTTAATTTTAATTAAAAAATATTTTAAAACCTGCTGATTACCTATAGTATAATTAAATTTCAATATAATGCATGGCAACTGTTGGTAGTTTTGAAGTTTATATATTTTCTTGGCAAACTTCAGTTTTTGACATTTTTGACGGGTTTTTGACGGTTTAAACCAGTATTATACCCTTGTCATGTCAAAAACCACTTTTTGACGTCAAAAACCCAACCCTGATTTTGCTTAAGTAGAGTTCATACTTTTTACGAGTTTGCCTTTGTTAGCTGTTGTCTTGTATATGAGTAATATTCCATTGAATGTTTTGATTTTTTTTTTGAAAATTGTCCCGACTTTTCTGAGACTCACTGCAACTAATTTGTTAAAGTTTTAGATTTCTAAGTCCACTTGTATTTAGTAATACTATCTGCTGGTTTTTTTTAAAAACTCTTTGTAAAGTGCTGATTTTGTACAGTTAGCCAAAAAAAAGGACCACCTGAATAACTTGATCTAATGACGAAATCTTCACATTCTATGACTGGTTCTTAATGGTTCGAGGGGGTGATCTCAAATATGCTAATTACTTAGTGCAGACGATATTTTAGTCACGATATCAAACACAAAAACATACTTTCTCTGAATAAACATACCCTCTTTTTGACAGACTTGGGCTTTAGGCACCCAAAATATAGGGGGCACCCCCAATCTGGGAAATATGGTTCTCATAGTTTGGTTGGGAGAGTGATCTTATGTTTGGACCCCTTAATATTAGTTTTACTTTTTGCGTCTTGAGAATTTTTTAATTCAAAATGTGACGAATCTCTAGGTTTTGCCAAATGCTCCAGAAGTAAAATTAACATTAAGGGGCCAAACTTTAGATCTCTCTCCCAACCAAACTATCTGGATCATATTCTCCAGATTGTGGCTACCCTCTATATTTTGGGGTCAAGAATCTGAATCTGTTGAAAATAGGGTATGTTTATTCAGAGAAAGTACGTTTTTGTGCCTGAATTCGTAACTGAAAATATCATCTACACTAATTAATTATAATTATTAAGGTCACCTCCTCGAACCATTAAGATTGATTCCAAGAACATGCAGATCCATCCAATCTTAAAATCAAAAGTTATTCAGGGTGGTCCTTGTTTTTTGAAGTACTGTACTTGAGCAAAAAATATTTTTTTAAAAATTTTTTCTATTTTATGACAGGTATAAAAATAATATAATTTATTTTATAAATAAATTTAGGACTCATATGCAAGATTTGAAGGATGTCACAAACAGTGTTCATTATGAAAATTTCAGGTGTAGGAAACTGGCTGGTGTAGGAACTGATGGCAAACCTTCAAGGTTATGCAACAAGTGAGTTATACTGTTAAGGATATGTCTAGTATGATGAACTGAAATAATTAGCATTCTAGAATAGCAATTTTTTTCCTGATTTTTTCCCCCTCCAAATTCTTGTGTTGAATTATAAATTGAACTCTCCCCATGAAATTATCTGAAGAAAAAGACTTTGCCTTACAGATTAACTTGTATAATTTTCTTAATTACTTTCATCTTCTCCATATTCACTGGTATATAAGAATATTTGGTATAACAGAATTTTTTTTTTTAAATTCTTTTCAGTCATCTTAATGGATTGATATAAAAATAAAGATTAGTAATTATATTTTGCATAATAGTCTCTTGCAAGAATTATCTTTTTCTATATCATAAACTTTGCAAATCTATTAATGTAGCATATTTTAAATTGGAAAGCAAGAAAAATTAATGATATTTGAAAAAATTTTGAGTTTAGAGAAAAATTGACTGTTGAATGAAATGTTTTTCAAACTATCGAAATATTTTATGTAACTAATTCTGCAAGTATAATTGCTACTAATTGTTAATCAAAGGCAGATTAGCTAGGGATGTATTGAGCCAAGGAATTAACCTCTCACAGGAGTTTTACTTTCTAGTAGTTCATAAATCTTTAGTTTCTATGTGACCTTTGCACTTTTTTTTTCTTGTTTTACATCAGATTCGTATAGTTTGGCTTAGCATACCGATATTCAGCATTTATGCTGTTAAACTGAAAATTCTCTCCTATCTAACGCCTATAATTTCCTTTGTTTTTCTTCGATTTTCAAATAGTTTTTTTATTTGATTTAAAAAGAAAATTATTTTTCAGATTATCTCACATTATTTTTTTTTTTTGATCCGTCAGTTATGTTTGTTACACAGTTACATTTACTCATAAAATATATTTGCCTGAAATCTATTTTATTGATATCTATTCTATTTATAAATATAACGATTTATTTGTAATTCTGAAATTGTTGAATGAGTTATTAAGGAGAGATATTCATTAAAAATTTATTATTCTAGATTACTGTTTGTCCAGATAATTGTTTTTTCTTCTTTATTTTGTGTTCATTGTCAGAACTCTTAATTGAAATTTTATACATCAAACATGTTATTTTACTTTTTCTTCCTTTTTTATCTGAAAGGAATCCTCTTGATCAGTTGGAAGAAGAAAAGAGGGAACAAGAAAACAAAATGAAGAGAATGGAACAAGAAATGGAACAAGTATTTGAACTTAAAGTGAGAGAAAAAAGACAAAAACTCAAAGACTCTGAACTTGATGTAAGTATGATTTTCAAAATAATTATGGTTGAATTCCTGTTTAATAAAAGTTAAAATAAAACTCAAATTCTTGTATATTTATTTTCAGCAAAGATCTCATGCAGCTAGAAAAAAAAAGTTTCAGAATTTTTTAAGCTTATTTCACTTTTTTTAATTTGTTCATAATGAGATTAAGTGGTAACATATAGACTTAATGAAATAAGTTTTATTTTTCATGAATGTTTCATTTATAAAATTGATAAAAAATTATTTTCCATCTAGTTTAATTGTTTTTGATCATGCTTATAAGTTTGAAAATCTAATTTCTATCTTAAGTTTTCATTTCCTCTTTTTTACTCTCTTTAGAGCTTATGATTAGATTAGAAACTTGGGTTAGGTTATGATTAGGTTAGGGAAACTTGGTTTGGGTTATGTTAGAATATGGAATTTTCTGAATTTACAAATGGGAGATTAGAATTATTTACAAGAAATGTATGCTTGCATTTTTTTAAACTTGAAAACATATTGTATATTCATACTGTATATCGTGGTGTAAAAGTTGACCTCCTGTGTTTGATAACGAGATAGCAAATTTCTTGTGGGTCCGAAGTATAAGTCATCCACTGGTAGTAAGTCAATTATTATTCCTATAAACGTGATCATTCAAATTATACTACAAAAAATTCGGCAAACTAGGCGAAATGCTGATTTAAATGTTATTGTAAAATGTTTTAAAAAGAGTGAGAATTCAAATTCTTTGGATGGAGTTTATCGATAGATGTTGATAGATGATATAAATAGACTATTAACATTTGGAAATTTGAGTCCATTGCAGAGTGAAGTCTGTAATATGCAGACATTCAGACTATTAACTTTTAGACTGTTAACTTTTTCAGACTATTACAAGAAAAGTTAGGCTAATTCAAATACGTATAGAGATGAATTTGTACTTGTAAACATAGGATAGTTTAGCAGGTTGTTTTTAGGACATACGATGTTTTAAAATTTGAGTACTAAAAATTAAATTCATTGTTAGAGGTTCTAAGTATCAAGATTTTTTCTAACTATAAAATCAAATCAGAATATCATGCTAGATTATCTTATATTCAAACTAAAAGAGGAATATAATTTTTAGTGTTTAGGTAAAAAAATGAACTTTTTTTTTAAAGTTAAATATTTTCCCCTGTTAGAAAATAAATAAGTGCCTATAAATTTTTTTTCCAAAAATTTTCTGAAATTGCGTTATCTGCGCTACATTACAGGCAGGTTTAATCATTTGAAATCAATTTATTTTTTTCCCACGAAAATTACATTAAAAAATGCGATGAAACACAATTTTTTTTTGAAAGGTTGTAAAGATAAAGACCTATTATTGGATCATTGATCTCTTATTCAAGAAATGTTTATAATTAAATGAGTTATTTGTTTCTTATTTAAAGTGAAAGTTTTCACATGGGTTAGTCAGATTGAGAATAAATTTAGTTTATATCAATCTTTTAAGCAGTCAATATGTATCTAGAGCATACTTGGTGTATCTGTATTGGTATTGTTGATATACTGTAGGAAGGATACTTTCCTACTTTATGTGTACACTCCATTGTTCGTCTCCTTACCTGTCAATTAAAACAGCTGTTAGGTATTCATGCTCTACCCGCACAGCAAATGAGACGGATGTAATTAAGGCATTTGACCTTCAAGTGTTGATTGAACATTCTGTTTTGCTATTTAATGCTTTGTTAAATTAGTTATGCATAGTGCATAGCATTTTTAAAAAGTGCTTATAGGTGCTTATTTTCGATTTTCGTTTTTTAAAAGCCCTTAAAGGTGTTTTTTTTTAATTAGGTGTTATTAAAAGGTGCTTAATTTTCCTTTTTTGAAAATGAGATTGTTTTTCTTTACCATGTCAGTTTTCGCCATGTATTATGTAAAAGCGTGCTTATCACATTGTTCTTTTCAACGTTTTCACAATTCATTCAACTACAATCTATTTCGGCGTATTGTCGGTCCGTAATGTATCACAGCGCCAATAATGTTATATATTTCATGAAATACTTGAGATTCCGCATGTGCGTCTACTGAACTGGGTACGGTGAGATTCCACTCTCATGTCCAACTCTGCTGCATTTCGCAAGATATTCACAATTTCAGGCTTCATTTTCCACTCTGATATCGAACCGAAAAATCGCTTGATTATTTTATAATGGCTAACATAATCAAGAAACGAGTTCCTTGGCAGAAACTAGTTATTTTATCATTATCATGTAAAGATTTGGAAAATTATTTTGTATTTCGTTAATGTACATAGTGCTTAAAAATATTTTTTGAGAGCTTAAAAAGTACTTAGATTTGGCTATGCACCCATGTTCATTGCCTTTTCTCATAATACTTATTCTGAAAAATGTTATTAAATAGTATTATTTATTTGATCTAAACATTATGGTTGCTTTAGTAAAATAAACATTGACTTTGAAACTGTGAACTTAACTCTATAGATAAAGCCTAATCTGTAATACTTAACCTAAATCTATTGATAAAGAACATGTTTGAACTTAAATCTATTACTTAAGAGACCTAAATCTATGGATACTTAAATCTATAGATTTACTTAACTTAAATCTATTGATAAAGCTAATTGTTTGTTATCAGTTGAATTGCTAACAAAGTAAGAACTACGTAAAAAATAAAATATTTTTCCTGATATTTGCAGCTTCAAAAAAGGCATGAACAGATAAGAAAAAGTTTAGAACAACAAAAGAATGAATTAGAAGACAGGAGAAAAAATTTTGAAAAAGATAAAGCTAATTTTGAATTAGTCAACAAAGATGCTGAAGATGCGTTTAAGAGGATGACAATGGATAACAACTCCAAAGAGTAAGTATTATGATTCTTTTGGGTTTCATTAATATTCTTTGCTGATTAATATGTTTTTAAACATATTTTTTGTACACCTAAACAGATTTTTAATAGGATATTATTTAATAATATTGTTTTAATACAAGTATTGTTCGTTTAGTTAATTGCCAAGGAAACTATAAAAGAAATACTAATTGTAACTAAATTTTGACATCAAACAAAACATTTCAGTAAAATTTGAAGTGCTGAACTTAATTACATCGATTTATCACATTACTTCGTTTATTAATTTATTAGGAATTTCATTATGTTTAGTGTTTTCAGTGAACGTTGTTGAAAAATTCCCTTTTCAAATGAAACATTTTCATATCTAATTTTATTCATGGGAAAAGGGTATGTTTTGTTTTTAAATGTTAAACAAAATATTTTTGAATGATTACAGAATGAAGTTCGGTGTATATGATTTGGATGTTTTTATGTGTTGGTGAATTAAATGTTAAGAATGCTTCCTTCTAATGTTCTGAGCATTAACTGCTTTAATTTGTTCTTTCTTTTTTTTCCTTCTTGCATTTGTTTAGATTTTTTGTTGCTTTATTGACTCAATGTGTCATGCAATACACATTATGTACTGTGTTCTGTTTTATTTTTATTTATTAATTATAGCATCTGTAGGTTGTTACATGAATTAAAAAAAATACATATAAGTATATTAGCTGTGCAATTAAATATGTATTTCAGCGCATTGTGTGTTAAACAAAAACAAATTTGTATTTTCTTTTTCCTCCTTTCTGCTGCTGACAACTTTAACATCCAAGCCTCTTCTTATTGAAAAATCATAATATACAGAAGGCCTTTCATATTTTTTCTGGAAATAATTTAGTTAAATTTTTATAGCTCTAACTGAATTTTACTTTTATCTGATAGCCTTGATACTGCCACAAAAAGTGAACTTTCTGATTCAAGCATATTAATTTTTTCCTATTGACCTAGTGTATTTTGATAGTACATTTGTCAGGTTTGTTTAGCAATCTGAAAAGGTGAAAAATCATAGAATAATGACCAAATGCTAAAAATAAATATTATGAAAATTTAATCAGTGGTCAAAAAATTAATGAATGTTACTAATCCACATACATTTTTACTGGTCTGTCTGTCTCCATTAGATATTAAAAAAATAATAATAATGTGAATAAATTGTTATAAAGTGAGTCTGTTATGATCACAATTATAATAGGATCGATTGTTTTGCGATAAAAGCTCTAATCAAAACATCATACCACCCATAGGGACCACTGATTATTCATTTTGGGGTTGTATCAAATCAATGATCCTTCATTAATTTCGAGCCTTGAAGTTGTTTTACATCTTTTAAGTAGATGTTTTTCATTTTGATTTTATTTGATAGATAATTGATTCAGTCTATGTTAGGCTTTTTATTCTGGGTCATTGCTGAGATTTCTCATTCAAAAATTGGTTTTAGAATATTCTGCTGGTGGAAGAGTAAATACATTTTTAATTTTTGCTCGAAATTTTATTATGTATATAATTTTTTATTCTATCAAAATCTGGAATCTTTTTGAGAATTTAAAAATTTTGAGAATTTAAAAAAATCAATTTAAATGGTAATATGAGGTTTGGCAGTTAATTAAACCTATAAATTCATTGAACATTACTGCAAACTTCCATTTATAGTTGCTAAATTTTTTTGAACGAGTCTTAAATAAGTTACTAAGTAGACTTTAAAAGTGTTCTGTAAGGGGTTGGATATGTTACTGTTCAGAAAATGTTTATTTGTATAAAAACTTAAGTTTTAGCTGTGAATTATCAATACAGAAAGTGTCAAAAATGAATTTGTATACAAAGACTGATTATCAAAATGGCTGTTTTGGTGACCTGTCAAATTTCAATCTAAATTAATAAATTTCATTAAATTGAGAAAAAAGTTTATTTAATTAAAAGCTTTAAAAAATTTATAATAAATTGTTAATATAACATATAGTTTAAAAAAGAAAATAGCAACAACAACAAAAAAATTGTTTCCTAAAAAATGTGAAATGACCTTCTGTAAATAGTATATTTAAAGTTGTTTGAAACATTATTTCTAATTTAATTTGTTTTATTCAGTTTTTTTTTATGCTTATCTAAATTTTGTTATACTTGAAAAATAACTAAATATTGATTAAATAGTGTATCAGGAAATTTTTTTATTGAGTAAAATAGCACTTGCTGCTATAAATTAATATTGCTGCTTAATGGGGCTATTGACTTTGAAAATTTAAGCTCAAATAATTCAAGATTAATTGATTTTTTTTTTAAATATATGCTTGTATTGATAAACCTTGAGATTAATTTTCCTATCCCATAATTCCATTTCATATAGATTATTTTAAGGTGAAATAACTCAGGAATGTAAAAAAAAATAACTTTTGCGTATTCTAATTATATTATAATACAATCATAATAATAATAATAATAGAATTATAAAAGACCTAATTTTTTGTTATCAAACCACTATTGCGTCATATCTAAATTGTTTTTAACTTATTATATTTCTTGTTCAATTAATATATTTTTTACTAGCTCTGAATTCTTTAGATCTTTTAAGATCAATATCGATGACATTATCTTGAATAAAATGAAACAATTAAAAGATTGTTATTGTAGATAAAGAATTTAAAATCTTTTTTCCTATTATCTGATTAAAATTTACAACAAAAATAATTTTGATTTTCGAAATTTTTTTTTTTTTTTTTTTTGAAGATTTAATACTAGTAGNTTTATATTTTTTTTTTTTGAAGATTTAATACATGTAGCGTGCATGTAAGTAAGCAAAGTGCTTTGCATGCTCTCTGTGTACATCTATTTATAAGTCTATCCATTTTGTGACATTACATACACAGCACTGTGATTACTTTTTACTTTATATTTTTAAATGTTGAATGTTTTTTATTGATATGAACTATTTTCTTAATATTTCTACTCAATTGTTTTATTTTTTATTGTGTCACAATAAAGAATTACGTTTAGTTGGTGAGTTTTTTTTTAAAAAGGTTTAATTAATACCTATTTGTTTTTGGTTTATAAATCAAAATAGTTCTTTTTCCTCAAATATTTTTTTAACAGAATCTAAGTGTTATGAAAGATTATATTTGTAAATAGTACATAGGCTCTTTATTTTTCTCTTGTTTGCTAAGTTAGTAGCAAAATCACAACAAAAATTAAATATAATAAAAAGTTTAAAATTTTTTAGAGACAGAGAAAAAAACCTCTTTACATTCTATTTAAATAATTAAACAACGTTGAAAACTTTAACACATTTCTCTATTTTCAATCATATTCTAAGAAGAACAATGTATTTGACTTTTTTTTCTTGTAAAATGTTTTCAAAAAAGTAAGAGCAAATATTAAGAGAATTTTTTCGTTCTATCTTTTTGCTGTCTATCCTGAATTTTAAATCTATTTGCTTTGTAAAATAGTAAATAATCTGGCTTTATAACTTTGTTTTTTAAAATATCTATAATATCGTGTCGCAAAATTTTTGTTCTACTTAGTTCAATGGTTTTAGATTAAATGTTAAGAGGTTTAACTTCATTTTATATAAATTAGAACGATACAAAGGTTTTGTTATTGTTATTGAATTTCTTATAAACAATTGCAAATTTAAAATGCAGACAATTAAAGACGATATTATACTAATGTTAATAAAGTAGTTTAGTTAGGTGTAGTTTCTTTTAGTGTTATATGAGTTTAAAAATGCTCTGCATTTCCATTTAATATTAGTAAATAAATCTTTGTATTAAAAGTTTATGTAAATATCCTCTATGTGTGTAGTTAATGGTGGGAGAAGTACTCCTAACATTATTTACATGGTGCACTTATTATTCAGGCAAAGTTTTCCTGAAAAAATCTTCTCTGCTTGCTGCAGTTCTATATCATCAAAGAAATTCTCAAAAATTTTTGGTCAACCTCCCACTTCTCTTTAATTTTCTTCACTTTACAGGTACTCATTCTTTGCATAGTACACTGCTTTAAAACTATATCAGTGCATAAATACTTATTTTTTTACAAATTTTTCTAATCAATCAAGGTTGTCATTTTTGTAAAAAGAATATGCGTTTATATTTGTTTAGTTTAATAGCATGCCGTGATGGCTCAGGGGATAGCAGTGTTTTTACTGCAGCGCGAGAACGCGAGAATCTCGCTTATTTTTTTTCTTTTCTCGCATTAAAAAATTATTAACTCGAGAAGGTTGCGCACTCTATTAATCAATTTCAAAATGCGCAAATTTTGGAAAAAAATTCGTCTTTTGCCATTTTGAATAAAATTTGTTTCACTTTTCTTCCTTGATCGTTCATTATTTTCAACATCGATCCCTATTATCTAGCTTCCCTATTTACCAGTATTGTTCAGAACCGGTGCGAACAGCAGAACATAATGCCCCCCCCCCCCTGAATGACTGAACACATTTCAGAACAAAATTTCTCTGCAACCACGAGTTCACCGAAGGTAAAATTTCTTCATGTAAGATGTTTAAACTTTTTTCAATGCTGCAAATTTACTTAGTGATTCCGAATTGTTCAACATCTGTTGCAAGGTCATTCAGCACTCAAAACCGAAATAAGACAAAATATTGTATACAAATGACTGATAAACGTTTGAGCAACCTAATGAGAAAAACTGATGAAAAAGTAGATATACAGTACAGAACCCGTTATCCGGAAATCAGAAAACCGGAAAACCAAAAAACCGGAACGAAATTTCGATACATTTTCCCACCATTTTTTTTAAAAAAAATTTTTTTCCTCATAAGATTTTAGGATTTTTCTTTCTTTTTTGAAAGATGTTTACCTTACCATCATTTTGGAAATAATCATTAGTGTATTACTCCATCGTTTTTTCTTCTTTTTAAGATTATTTCCAAAAAAGTTTTTTTTTTTAGTTGGGTTTAACAAAAAAAAAAACGGCTTTTCGTAGCGATTCAGAAAACCGGAAAAATCAGTTATCCGGAATAGCGATGGTCCTGATCGTTCCGGATAATCGGTTCCCTACTGTAGAAAGTTTTCCATATGATAATGCAGCAAAAATATTCAATGCTTTAAAAATTAGAAGATTTATTATAATTAAAGAAATATTTTTTTCCAAGTCTATTTGCGTTTTTTTAATTTTTAGAAATCTCACTTAACTTTTTGAGATCTCACCCTGTTTCTGAGAAAGGGTGAGAAATTCTCTCTCATTTTTTTCTGTAATGAAAGCACTGGGATAGAGCATTTGCCTTCCAATGAGGTGAACTGGTTTCGAATCCCAGCGATGGCTGGTCGATGTGAATTCCGCATCTGGCTTGCACTGACCACAGTGCTGATGTTAAATATCCTCAGTGGTAGACGAATCATGGGTAAGAGTCTCCTTGTGGTCAGGCCAACTGTGAGAGATTTCCCTCTCCATGTAACTCAAATGCGGGTTAGTTCCATCTAAAAGTCCGCCATGAAAGCAAATTTCTCCCCATACTTGATCCAGGAGTTCCCTTGTCTTCGGGATTGGGTTCAAAATTACAAGGCTACGGAGTTTAATATTAGTAGTCTTAAACCCAAAAAATTAGCTGATTGTTCAACAACGGTTGTAAAATGAATAAAAAATATTGTTGAATTGTTTTTTTAGACATACTGTATATGACCTTGCTACTGTCCTGGTTTAAACTTGACTCTTTGCTTCATAGCCTCTAATAAAAGATAAGACATTCAAGTTATTAAATTCATATTATGTACTGCTGTGTTGTGTTTCATATTATAGTAACAACGTCTTTTTAGAAAAATTCAAGAAATGATAACCTTTATTAAATAATGAGGAGTAAAGCTGGAGAATTCCTTAATATTTCTATCATTATATTTAGTATCAAAATTTTGTTTGTCAGATTAATTTCACACATTTATTTAGAAGAGTTATTCTTAAGAATAATTGTTTCTTTCTTAAATTAAAAACATTGTTAAAAAATGCTTATGGAATTTAAATATATAATTCTTACAATTTTGGCAACCTTGGTTGTTTCTTATGCACATAGATACACTTTTTTCAATCTTTGCTTGTAACTCAATGCACGCTGTTTGTTTTGCTGGGTTATCTTTATATTTTATTATACTCCATAGTATTTTCCTAGTCATTATTTTGAAACTTCTCTTTTGTCTCAATATTGAAATATGTCTATCATGATGAATTTTGTTGAAGTTTAAAAACTTATATATACAAAATAAACTATAAAATATTTGCGTTTGCACAAAAAATTAGTAAGTGAATTCATATTAAAATGCGTTGAGCTGAAAGTTCTGAATTGAAAAAAATTTTTTTTGTGTAAAATTTCTGAAATCTTTCATTTTTTTTAAAATTTCTTAAATTAAGCCTCTAAAATCATTTAAGTTCCAATAATTTAATTTGAATAAAATTTTTTTTTTGAATTATGCAACCTGTGTTTAATAATGTTAAAATACTGTTTAAGTACTGTTATCCTAAAACCTTGAAGTTAAGAGAAGAAGATTATTTCTAACATTGCAATTTCTGTGCATAAATTCAGCACTTCAATGCAAGAACAAGTTCAGATTCCTAATTGTTTGCAAGGGCGAAATGACTTGCTGATTTTATGTTTGTCCTTGATTGAAGAAATTTCTTTATTTTATTACAGACTTCACATAGAAATTCGTTGTCTATTAATTTAGAAAAATGTATGTCCTCAAAGACACATTTTTGTAAATTTCATGTGCTTTAGATTTAATTCTGAAATTTTAATTTCACTTATATATATGAGTATTTCTTTTCTTGATTGATGTTTGAAAATCACTATGTTGTAGATAATGGGGATCTAAAATGTAGTGTGACATCTAAAATTCAAAAAAGTCTTTGCATGCTGCTTATCATATTTGCAGTTTTTTGATGCATGTAAAAGTACCAGTAACATCCTTGCGCAATATTTAAAGGCAAAATGAGTATTCTTACTTCGAGTATGAAAAGGGCTTTCATTGCCNTTTTTCGTTTTATCTTTTTGCTGTCAATCCTGAATTTGAAATCTGCTTGCTTTGTAAAATAGTAAATAATCAGGCTTTATAACTTCGTTTTTTAAAATATCTATAATATCTTGTCACAAAGTTTTTGTTTTACTTAGTTCAATGGTTTTAGTTTAACTGTTAAAAGGTTTAACTTCATTCTATATTACTTAGAATAATACAAAGGTTTTGATATTGAATTTCTTGTAAACAATTGCAAATTTAAAATGCAGACGATTAAAGACGATATTATACTAATGTTAATAAAATAGTTTAGTTAGGTGTAGTTTCTTTTATTGTTATATGAGTTTAAAAATGCTTTAAATTTCCATTTAATATTAGTAAATAAATCTTTGTCGTAAAAGTTTATGTTAATATCCTCTATGTGTGTAGTTAATGGTGGGAGAAGTACTCCTAACATTATTTACATGGTGCACTTATTATTCAGGCAAAGTTTTCCTGAAAAAATCTTCTCTGCTTGCTGCAGTTCTATATCATCAAAGAAATTCTCAAAAATTTTTGGTCAACCTCCTACTTCTCTTTAATTTTCTTCACTTTACAGGTACTCATTCTTTGCATAGTACACTGCTTTAAAACTATATCAGTGCATAAATACTTATTTTTTCCCAAATTTTTTCTAATCAATCAAGGTTGTCATTTTCGTAAAGAGAATATGTGTTTATATTTGTCTAGTTTAATAGTGTTGAAATGTCGTGATGGCTCAGGGGATAGAGCATATGCCTTCCAATGAGGTGAACCGGTTTCGAATCCCAGCGATGGCAGGTCGATATGAATTCCGCATCTGGCTTGCACTGACCACAGTGCTGATGTTAAATATCCTCAGTGGTAGACGGATCACGGGTAAGAGTCTCCTTGTGGTCAGGCCAACCGTGAGAGGTTTCCGTGGTTTCCCTCTCCATGCAGCTCAAATGCGGGTTAGTTCCATCAAAAAGGCCACCATGAAAGCAAATTTCTTTCTATACTTGATCCAGGAGTTCCCTTGTCTTCTGGATTGGGTTAAAAATTACAAGGCTACGGAGTTGAACATTAGTAGTCTTAAACGCAAAAAATTAGGTGACTGTTCAACAACAGTTATAAAATAAAATAAAAATATTGTTGAATTGTTTTTTTAGACACAGTGCATATGACCTTGTTACTGTCCTGGTTCAAACTTGACTGTTTGCTTCTTAGCCTCTAATAAAAGATAAGGCATTCAAATTATTAAATTCATCTTATGTACTGCTGTGTTTCATATTGAAGTAACAATGTCTTTTTAGAAAAATTCAAGAAATGATAACCTTTATTAAGTAATGGAGAGTAAAGCTGGAGAATTCCTTAATATTTCTATCATTACATTTAGTATCAAAATTTTGTTTGTGGGATTAATTTCACACATTTATTTAAAAGAGTTATTCTTAAGAATAATTGTTTCTTTCTTAAATTAAAAACATTGTTAAAAAGTTCTTATGGAATTTAAATATATATTTCTTACGATTTTGGCAACCTTAGTTGTTTTTCATGCACATAGATACACTTTTTTCAATCTTTGCTTGTAACTCAATGCACGCTGTTTGTTTTGCTGGGTTATCTTAATATTTTATTATTCTCTATAGTATTTTCCTAGTCATTGTTTTGAAACTTCTCTTTTGTCACAATATTGAGATATGTCTATCATGATGAATTTTGTTGTTGAAGTTTAAAAACTTATATATACAAAATAAACTATAAAATATTTGTATTTACACAATGTATTACTAAATGAATTCATATTAAAATTCATTGAGCTAAAAGTTCTGAATTAAAAAAAAATTTTTTTTGACCTATTTTGTATATAATTTCTAAAATCTTTCATTTTTTTTTATTTCTTAAATTAAGCCTCTATAATCATTTAAGTTCCAATAATTTAATTTGAATTAAATTTTTTTTTTGAATTATATAACCTGTGCTTAATAATGTTAAAATACTAATGTTAAAATACTATACTATTTAAGTACTGTTATCCAAAAACCTTGAAGTTAAGAGAAGAAGATTATTTCTAACATTGCAATTTCTGTACATAAATTCAGCACTTCAATGCAAGAACAAGTTCAGATTCCTAATTGTTTTGCAAGGGCGAAATGACTTGCTGATTTTATGTTTGTCCTTGATTGAAGAAATTTCTTGATTTTATTACAGGCTTCACATAAAAAACAGTTGTCTCTATAAATTTAGAAAAATGTATGTCCTCAAATACACATTTTCGTAAATTTCATGTGCTTTAGATTTAATTCTGAAATTCTAATGTAACACATATATATGGGTATTTCTTTTCTTGATTGATGTTTAAAGATCACTATGTTGTGGATAATGGGGATCTAAAATGTAATGTGACATCTAAAATTCAAAAAAGTCTTTGCATGCTGCTTATCATATTTGCAGTTTTTTGATGCATGTAAAAGTACCAGTAACATCCTTGCGCAATATTTAAAGGCAAAATGAGTATTCTTACTTCGAGTATGAAAAGAGCTTTCATTGCCTTTTTAGAGTCTACTCGCAAGTTGTTTAAAGCTCCTGACAGTCGTTAAATTAACCTTTTTTTTTCTTCTTCGCCTAGCATCTTTTTAATCTATTTTTTCATAGGAATTTCTATCAGCTTTTTAGGTTTTTGCTTATTTTATCTTTTTTTGTTCAAACTTGTTTTTGTTAAATATTTGTTTTGAATTACTTATATGGTGTATTTTGTTTTTATTATATTTTGCAATCTATAGGACTGTTTCTGGATCTGCTAAGAATACTCCTCGACTGAAAACCAAACACTTGACTGCATTTCTTTTTAAGTAAAGAACGTGACTGGCATTATATTTTGTTTCGCTGTTTAAGTTATTCTTGTATTATTATTTTTTGGGGAAAAATTTCTTTTGTTTATATTCTTAAAATATTTTATATCAGCTACTTTAAAGATGTGAAATAAGAACATTATTATTATTTTTTTTAAATTTGTTAATGTATTTTGTATCCCCAATGAAATATTTCTTATTTTACATGATTTTAGACTTTTCCTTGCTATTTAAATGAATTAGTATTATTGCTCTGATTTAATTAAATTACAGTTTTAAACTGCATTATCAGTAATCTACAAGCTATGTAATGTACTTGTAAAAATATGTAAAATTTTACAGTGCATATTTTTTGATATTTTAATATGAAACGATATTTATTTTTAATACTTCTATTTTATCAATATATCTAATCATAAGATATTATGCATACCTAATTAATTCTATTTGCTGATTAAGTAAAGTAGAGTATCGTTTATCAGGGCCCTGATTGACCTAATTGCCCATTGAAATAAATTGAAACCATGATCTTAAAAAAACAATCGTAAAATATATTTTTGTATTCTCTGAAAGAGTTATAAATTTTCTTTTTCCTTGATGTCTTCGAAAACCGAGACCCCTTTTCTGTTCACTTTAATTCATTCCAATTTCAATCAGGATAAGAGGTTGGGGTGGCCAATTTCTTTTTTAAAGTTTTTGAGAGTGTTTAAATAGTTTACCAGTTTAATTTGCTTTTGAAACATGCTGGAGGGTACCCGTTATTTTGAAAACGCTGTAGGTGTTTTCATGTGTCTCTGAAAAGAGTAAAAAAGTAGTCATTATTTCATGTAAAGTTTTAAACTTTGTTAAAGGAGTGAGGAAAGGTAAAAACCATTACCATTAGCTCTTGAGTAAGGTATTTATACGTAAAATATATCAGATATTTAAAAAAAAGGCAATAACAGCATTTTGATGTTTAGACGATTCGCCATCGTAAGCTTCGGAAAAGTGAGAAAAATAATTATCTTTAAAACACTGCTAACGCCATTTTTTAAAGTTCCCAAATTATCTGGATTTTTAGTAAGCAGAATTAGCTTAGATCTTGACTCAGATAATCAGTACTCTACTGTAATGTTGTACTGTAATTGTACAATTACAAGGTCTTGATCAATTAGATTTCATTGAATATTAATTATTTATTAGTATTTTTAGTAGTGTCAAAAAACTAGAGTGCCAAAACAATACAAAACATCTACAAATAAAAGTTATTTAGCTCTTAGATATTTATACATATTCTTGTAGTCTCTGGATTAAACGCACACGTTTGCTAGTCATTGCTTAAAAATACTGTAGTTGCGTTTTTATGAACTGCAGTAGGGAACCGATTATCCGGAACGATCGGGACCATTGCTATTCTGGATAACTGATTTTTCCGGTTTTCTGAATCGCTACAAAAAGCCGTTTGTTTTATTGTAAAATCCAACTAAAAAAAATAATATTTGGAAATAATCTTAAAAAGAAGAAAAAACGAAGTAATACACTAATGATTATTTCCAAAATGATAGTAAGGTAAACATCTTTCCAAAAGTAAACATCTTTCCAAAATTTGTTGAATTTCGTTTTGGTTTTCCGGTTTTCTGATTTCCGGATAGCGGGTTCTGTACTGTACTTCAAATATTATTCAACACACGTATGATGTGTGTTTGCTTTGTAAAAATGCAATTTTTAAAAATGTGTTATTCAGTGTGTGTTTTGTAATTACTGTCTGTATTATACACAGCTCTTGTCAACATAAAGTAAGAGTTTTAAATTAATATTAAAGTAAAAAAAATATTTTTTTTATCAAAATGTAACACATTTTGCAGAAATAGGTGAAAATAAAATTTAAAAAACGCCGGTTTAATTGCTGTGTGGAATCAAAAAGCATTCCTGATATTTTTGAAATTCTTTTGGAAAAAATGGTTATTAGGAACCTTTCCATTTGTATCATCCCCCTAAGGGGATTTGGCTTTTTTTTTCCGGTTGCCACAGGTTCTTATATCCTGAAGTACTCTAGTGATATATCCTCTTTCAATTTCGAGCAATGTGCACTGCTATATATCTATAAGTCTTAAGTTTAAAAGTTTAATATAGTTGTTCATAAACCTGAAATTTTAAATTTTCAGTTAATAGCCAGTGGCTATTATTTTAAAAGGCTATTCTTTGTCTAATGACTTAGCAGCCACTTTTTTTTCAAACTTAATGAGTTGGCAACTGATAGGTCCTTTCTTTTCATTCAATAGCTACTTTTAGAAAACTTTTATTTTTGCTTGGATAAAATTTTATTTTGAAAACAAAATTCATATTTGTCACAAAATTCATATTAATCTATGGCCATTAAAAAGTAATTCAACAGTACAAATATAAATGCATTAAAAAATTTATTTAAACATAGTAACTTTAGAGAACTTAATTTATAAAAATATTTAGAGAAGCAAAGTACATTTGATGTATACATTACGACTTTGAAATATATGAATTGTTAAAGAACTCTCTTTCCTCATAAATCTTTTCAAGACAAATTAATGGATTCTGCAAAACTAAAATTTTGAATGGTGACAATGAACATTTTAAGAAAAATTCTATTTTTCAGAGTCTTTTTCTACATTGATGTACTTTTATCATTAAACGATTTTTTTAAAAAAAGCAATGAGAAAAAGTGACCGGTTGTTTATTTAAGTCACCACTTTTTATTTTCTTTTTTAGTTGACTTGCCAAGGGGCGAGTGGTTATTTTCAGGTCTGATTGTTTGTTTTTGATATTTGCAGTACTTATTGATGAAATTTTATTTTTGCTGTTATATATTATTTTGTAATTTTGGAACTGTTTTATTTTTTATAGTTATTATTTCAATTTGTAGTTTTAGAAATGACATATAAAGTATATTAAAGTATGACAAGTATAATCCAGACCAGTGAGATTTAAAATTTTAAGTCTATTCCGATTAAGTAAAATTTTCAATACATGAATAACTAAAATATTTTAAACTTTAACAGAGATTAAAATTTTTGTTAAAAAAATAAAACAATGCTTAATTTAAATTTTCCTTTTGGCACCAACAGTTCAAAAGCTCTTATGGATAGTACTATAGTGATATTCCCTTTATTCTGAAAAAGTCGGAGATGTGGCCAGGGCTGTGCTCCATGCTTTCGGTCCCATTTGAATTTGCACTAGTCAAATGACAACAACAACATCAAAGTGATATTTTTTGTGTTTTCATGCATTTAGATAAAAAAATTAATTGAAAACCCTTTTTTTAAATTTAATGGTATGATTGTTTTGAAAAGGGATCATGTTAATTTTTGTATTGTATTCTATGTATAAAAGTACTGTTCAATCGTTACTGTTTTTCATTCTCTACAATACAGTATATTTTGCATTGCTATCAATTGTGTTAACGGCTGTTTAAACTTTCTTATGGTATTCAGGATCTTTTTTTGACCTAATTAGCATGTAATATATCTTAATAATTCAATTTTATAACAGTTTATGAAGGTTAAGAAAACTAATTTGTTAATTGGGAATTGCTTTTCAGTTGAATACTGTGGTCTCTTGTGAAAGTGACTTTTTCACATCTCTGGTGAAAAAGGACAAATAAGAAAAACACTTGATTAGCACTTTTCTTTTTCGTTTCAAATATTTCCTATTCAGCAGCAAAAACAAAAAAAAGAACAAATATATATATATATATATGTAATAACAGGGCTACAACCCTGTTATCAGTGTTGTATTTAGCTTGAAATAATGCAGTCGTAAGCCATCTGACGTTCTAAACAGGTTTATTTAAAGGTAGGCTGGTATTGATAACAGTTCACGTCCCCACTACTGCAAAGGAGGGGGAGTGGACAAGACTCTGGACAATTCCAGAACAGCTTATCAGGATCACATCATGATGAAAAGGACATGCAAAACTAGCGTTCTTACGTTTTATACCAACACAGATTTGAGGTAAAAAGGCACACTTCGTACATTCCTTGTAACCTTACGCATTAAGGAAAATCATTTACTGCTTCCTTATATGGAAGTGAAANACAGTATTTGTTCGAAAATGTGATCATTATTTTCAAAACGAATATATTGTAAAATTTGTATTTGATTAAAAAGTAATAAGAAAGGAATATTTAATGCTCAATAAATAGCAAAATAATTAATTAAATATATTTCTTTACCTTCTATATATAAATATATATATATATATATATATATATATCACCCCTGAACAAAATTTTTAAACAATAGTTGTTATCTCTGAAGATGGCAACAATAAATTATGTTAAAAAACTTCCTTCTATTATAAGTTGGTTTCCAAACTATAGAAATAAAGTATTACAGAAAGGGTCAAATTAAGGAATGAATCTCTTCAAAGTATCACTAGGAAAATGTTTTCCTCAATATTTATTTAAGAATTTCACCCTCTTCCCTTTAAGAATGATATTATATGAATGATATATAATGGCCATGAATTGATAGTAAGTTGCTTAACACTATCTCAAATTTATTATTTCATTTTGCATTATTGTTCACAGATTAGTCCAGGGATGGGCAAACTATGGCCCGCGGGCCAACTGTGGCCGGCCGGAAGGTTTTATCTGGCCCGCAGACAGAGTTTTAACTTGCTGATCCGTGGCGAATATAAACAATAAACAACCATTTTCTTGTCTACTTTGTTTAAAGCTATTTTTGTTCTTTCTTTTTTAACTAAGTACTGATGACCTTTTTACTTTCTCTATTTTTGTTCTACAAAACATAAATTGATGGAAATAGTTAGCACAGACAGCTTCAATTGGTAAAATGTTAAAAGCAGAAGTTCTTTATAGAATAACCATAGATTGGCTCCAACGATCGTTTGTCTTTCTCGAGGAGCAGACATACGGAATCTAATATAGGTGAATACTTCACATGTGGCAGACTGCACATTTTAAGTTTCCAACGAGCGGATTTTTCTGCCTTCGCGAGTTCTAACATTATTTATTGCGTATGGAAAAATTTCGCACATACAATGTCATTGTAAATAATGGTGAAATTATTAAATGTATAAAATGGCTACTGCTTTTTTCAGTTATTTGTAAAAAATTTTCACTTCAAAATGGCAACTAAAAAACGCAAAGTTGATTTAGAGTGCCATGCGTTCAATTATGAATTGACTTCATTTTATTTTAGAAATTAGAATTTTTATGTTAGAAGTTTTTACTCATCCCACCGAACTTTTTTTTCTCGATTTTTGGCCCTCGACCAGAAAAAGTTTGCCCATCCCTGGATTAGTTGAATAGATTAATTTAATTATTGGAGTACTAAAAATTTTTCCTTATGAAACATGTAATGATTGTTTTTTCTTTTAAAAAGTGGTAAAAATACATTAGCTTCTACTCAATGAGTAATCCATTGTATAAAATTTATAATTATTTGCTCTATTAAAACAAGCATAATTTTATCCGACTACACATGTACTAATTATTAGTTTTGTATCCTTCTCAAAAAATTGCAAAAATGCATTATTTTCTACTCTGATGATTCTTTGTCTAAAATGTATGATTATTTAATAAAATAAGAATCGTTTAGTACAATTAGAGATTTTTTTTCTCTAACTCAACATTAACAAAAGACCACGGTATTCTGAAATAAGATTCTAAAAGCAAAAGACTATTATATGTGTGTTTATTTGTTAAGAATTTATTTTAATAATTTCTCTCAAGATTTCTGTTTTTACGAAGGCATAAATAAATAAAATAAAATCTCATTAACTCTTCTGGTTGAAAATCTGAAAGTGCTGCTGCTATTTCCATTGATCTTCTAAAGACTGTCTCCAATAAGGTTAATTTGCTGAAATATTGTGACTATACTAATGTTGATTTTGAAGCTTAATTAATTGACTTTACCTTGGGACTGAAATATTCAAGAAATAAAAAAAAAACCCAGCTGGAATTATAAAGATTATTGTAAAAAAAGGTATAGTGCAAGGCATGGATAATATAATTTGTGTATTTTGAATAATTGCATTGTTTTAGCAGTAGGATGCTCTTGTCTGTGATGTACTACTAACCATATTCATTGCATTAAAATTGCTTTAAATATTTCATTTAATTATATTTCAAATATTTGCAATTTAATAATGTAACAGCTTGCTCTAACACATGGATGTCAGTTTGAAATTGCTTATGCTATCTTTATGTGTGACATTTAGAACAATTTCATTTGATATTTTAACTTTTTAAGAATTTTAGGCTTGATATTTAAATTCATATAATTTTCTAATTGATTAGTGTAGTATAAATGCTTTTCTCGATTTACTGTAAAACAGTTTAGCTCTAATATTGCGTTAACAAATGGTCCAAATTAATATTTTTAAAATCCCGAAGAAAAACTTGCTAATGCATTTCTATTATAATACTCAAATAATTTAGAAAGTTAACAATTTAATAACTTACTAATACAAGAGATAAATCTACAGTTATTCAAGAATTAAGCTGTGATAGTTTCTTAAATATACTTCTTATGAGTGAAAAATATCAATGAAACTTAAAACTCAAGATTTTATGAAAAGAAATGTATAAAGTTTCATTGATTACTATTTTAATTATGTTAGATGATATGTTATTGTGAGAATTTTTGAGCACATGTTTTTTATGTGGATTTTAATATGATTTATTATTTTATATGAAATTGCTAGGTAAGGGAAAAACTGGCATTTTCTATTGTAGAAATAATAGTTTTTATTATTAATTATCATTAGCAGAAATGTATGTTGGATCTAATTCTAGTTATAAATGCCTAAAATTTCATTTATATATTTGTATTATCGATTTTCCTTTGAATAGAATGTAATTTATCAACTTCTTATTAGAACATAAAACTAGTGATTTTTATTTAACATAACAATTATATATTTTTAATTTAACATTAAAAATATTACTTAGAGATTCAAAATTATTTTTGAAGTTTCTGTATTGTTTCATATTAAATTTGATTATTTTTTTCGATTTTTAATTTCTGAAGTAGGTTTTGGTGGTATTGAAATAAGATTTTAAAAATAATAGATAATTCTGTCAAGGTTTTTATTCTGTGAGCAATATTTTAGTAACCTCAAGCAATTTTGCAATTAAAAAGTATTAAATTAAAATTTTAGCTAATTGTAGACAGTTATTTTTTATATTAATTCCATTGAGTTAATTTTTAATTTATGAATCAATTTTTTATGTTTTGTGAGTAAATTTGTANGTATTGAAATAAGATTTTAAAAATAATAGATAATTCTGTCAAGGTTTTTATTCTGTGAGCAATATTTTAGTAACCTCAAGCAATTTTGCAATTAAAAAGTATTAAATTAAAATTTTAGCTAATTGTAGACAGTTATTTTTTATATTAATTCCATTAAGTTAATTTTTAATTTATGAATAAATTTTTTATGTTTTGTGAACAACTTTGTACAGTAGGGAACCGATTATCCGGAACGATCGGGACCATCGCTATTCCGGATAGCTGATTTTTCCGGTTTTCGGAATCGCTACTAAAAGCAGTTTTTTTTATTGTTAAACCCAACTAAAAAAAAAAAAAAATTTGGAAATTATCTTAAAAAGAGGCAAAAACGATGAAGTAATACACTAATGATTATTTCCAAAATGATAGTAAGGTTAACATCTTTTAAAAAAGAAAGAAAAATCCTGAAATCTTATGAGGGAAAAAAAAATTTTATTTTTAAAATTGGCGGGAAAATTTATCGAATTTTGTTCCGGTTTTTTGGTTTTCCGGATAGCGGGTTCTGTACTGTATTACTCTTATCAAAGAATCTTGGTAAAGTAAGGATTCTAAATTGTACTTGACATTTTGAAAATATCAATCACTAGTTTTTTGTTGTTGTTGCCCTGCATGAATTATATAAGCTTGCTTATAGATGATCATTCAGCATGCCATAAATGCATTTAGACGCTTTTTACCTCCTGCACCTTAAAACAGCATTTGCTATGTTTTTTTCAGGCTGGACGGCAAAGAGAAGAAGAAAGAAAAAAAGAAGGGCCTCTTCTAAGAGAGAACACGAGAGAAAGAGATGGAGTTAGAAAACAAAAATGTTAAAAAGGTTGACTGTGCCTCTGTTTACCATTGTTCGCTTTTGTGTGATGTCTTCTTCGTGTGTCGAACCCTTCTTGTGTTTGTGTCGCTGTTGGACGGTAAATGCAGGCCCAGGACACAAAAAAAGACTTGCTCACACCGTTTTTTTTCGCCAATTACATAACAGTGGATTTGAAACGCTTGTACATTTTTATTTTGCAGAGCATTAATTGCATTTTTATCCATCTGTATATATTGAAATTCTCATTTATAAATAACATTTTTATTTGGAGAAAGTAATTGCTGTGCATGTAAAAATGAAAAGGATTATTTTGCTTTAAAAAAGCTGGCATTTGTGTTTGTTATAGACAAAGCAAGAATGAATAATAAATTTAGGTTTAACCAAATGAAGTTAATTGCTATCAATCTTAGTTGGTATAAGTATTCCACCCTTTAATTGACTAAAACCAAGTCTTAACCGATCCTAGTCGGTTAAAGCTCATACCCCAATGTCTACAATCTTTGTTATTATCTGAACAATAGCCTTTAAACATCAATGTAACGAATCCTGATATCACAATCAACTCAGAGGGTCTTTAATCTATCAATTAATAATTTATTGCTTTATCATAATATATTACTTAGGCTTTAACTGACTAGGTTTGGTTAGACTTGGTTAAGGCCCTTTCACTGGCTAAAACTAAGTGTAACCGTTCCCAGTCAGTTAAAGTTCAAAGCCGATATCTTTAATATGTGTTATTATTTGAATAATAGCCCTTAAAAATCTGTAGTGAATTCTAATATCATTTGAAACTCACAGGCAAGGGTTGTTTATGTAATAGTTAATGATTGCTTTATCATATGTAACATACAACTTGGGGTTTAAACTGACTATGATTGATTAGACCTATAGGGTGGCCATAGTTCAAGGAAAAGTTTGGGAATTTTATCATTCTAAAAATTTGGAAAATGTCAGGAGATTTAATTTAAATACCCTTGTTATGGAAAATCAGTTAGTTTGAATATAAAGTATATAAAAGTCGATATTTTTTCAAATAATAATAATAAGTAAATAAAATTCCTTGTTTTCAACTTGAAAATCAAATATAACAATTTTGAAATATATTTTTTCCATACGAATGAAGCTTAAAATTTAATATGAGAATTTTGTCACAGTTACAAAATCACAATGGTTACTAATTAACAATGTATGATATGGTTACAAAAATCGAGAAAATTCTTTAAAATCAGTCTGAAAAGTCGGATTTTTTTTCTGAGTGTTTGTGACTCACTGTCTTGTAAGTTTTAACTGGTTAAAGGCGGTAGCATTTGAAATTTTCTTTGAACTTTAACAAGATAGGATTAAAAGGCAATTCTTAACTTTTATTTCTTTAAACCTAGTTTTATCTTTTTATTCTTGCTTTATCAGTAACATATCTACTTGTGAAACAAATATGCATTTTTTTTTATAGAATTGATTCCATTTTATAAGTGATTCTCTCATTAATAGTTGTATAGGAACAGTATTGAATCTTTAATCTCTTATGCAATTACTACTTTTAAAGAAAGGTACACATTTAAAATTGAAAGTTTCTCAACAATGCATTTCCTGTATCTCATCTATGTAAGATAGGATTGATTCATTTTTAATATATTGTAGGCATTTTAACTGTTATTTCTTTTACTTCCTCCTATTTGAAAGTTATTAGTGTTATTTATTTATGTTTCCCCCCTGTTTTACGTACATCGTTTTCTTTTTACCATTTAAAATTGCTAATGAATTGATTGAGTACTGATTGCAAATTTGTATCTATTTATATGAAGAACTTTTGTACCTTGTTCTCATATGCAAAAGACTGAAATTAATTCGACTTAACCGTGACTGTCAGCAAATAAAATTTTTTTCATGTTTTGTAGAATGATTCATTTTTCATTTTATTTATTTTATTTTATGGTTTTCAAAACCAGTTGAATTTACTTTTAGAAACTTTATAGAAGAAGCAAATCTGTAACATATTTACAATCAGGGCCTGATCTCGAAAAGGGGGGGAATTGTTACTTTAAACCAAATTTACATGCAGTTTAATTATGAAGTATTTTTCAATTATTTATAACATAAGTAAATTGCGATATCTTGGTAAATTTTAGCTTAAACTTATTTCAATTTTTATTAAGTTATATTTCTAATAGACAATTCTTAAGGAAAAACGCAAATAGAATATATTTAACATTTAGAGGCCTATGGAAATGGGGGCTTGAGCCTCTCAAGCCTTATGATGAATCAGGCACTATTTACAATTCGATTAATATCTTTAGGAAAAGAACCAAGCTCAATGGCTAGTTGTCTTTTAATAACTTACATCAAGAATCGAAATTTCCCCGTGTCAGCTTGCCAATAATGACAGAATATTTAAAGCTGGCGGGTGTGTGGCAAATAAAAGAACCAGAGCGGCGAAAGGGGCTCAGGGGAAAGGCGTTCGCCTTCCAATGATAATTGGGTTCGAATCCCAGCCATAGCTGATCGATACGAATTCCGCATCCGGCTTGCACCGACCACAATCTTTACGTAAAATATCCTCTGGTAGACGGATCATGGGTTAGAGTCCCCTTGCCGTCAGTCTAATCGTGGGAAGTTCTCGTGGTCTTCCTCACCATGTAACGCAAATGCGGGTTAGTTCCATCAAAAAGTCCTCAACGAAGGCAAATTTCTCCTAAGAATTGATCCAGAAGTTCCCTTGTCTTCAAGGCTACGGAGTTCAATATTAGTAGTCGTAAATCCAAAAATTGGGTCGGCTGTTCAGTGACGGTTATGAAATAAAATTAAGGAATCATATTTCCCCCAGATTTTGCATTTACGTTTAATAGATCAGGAGGCTAACTGGAAACGTTTAAGACTGCTGTACTCAAAATTCACAAAAATGAGTTGCTCAGGATGCATGTAATCTACCTTTACATCTGCAGACAGATAGATCTGCAGATTTGTAAAGAGATATTGAGCGTGCTGATTGCTGAGAATTTCTATAAATGAACCTCACCTCCCCTATAGCGTTTGACCTTATGCCCACATTTAATAAATGGTATTTGAGTGCCATAAGTCAAGGTATTCAAACGAAGAGTTAAAAGAAAGGATACATTTCTGATAGTTTTCTTATTTTCATGACTTGGGATGATATTGAAATCTTGTGACAACAGCTTTTTAATTTAATATTGCGCCTCGCCTGTTGTAAATTTCTTTCGTTTAATTCAATTCTTAATTTTCACGTGGCGTTTTATATTTAATAATAATTCTTTTATTAATATTTAAATATTTCTTTCAGAAAATTAAACTATGTACTTTAAAGAAGTTGAAAATCAAGTGTAATAAAATACAATTCACGATTTTTACTAACTGGAAGAACATTCCTACTGAATGTGGTTTGAGCGTCCTTTTTTTTATTTTTTAAAATGTACCAATCAAATTCTCTATTACTAAATGTATATTTTAAATTAATTTTTATTTTTATGAAAAAGTGACAAAAACTATTGTGGGGAAATATTTTGTAGTAAAATAAAAAGTTTGTTTTCAAAACGCGTAGAAGTCATGTTAAGAAGTATAATTTAATATTTTTTTAATTAAATGAGTTTCGATTTAACATTATAAAGAAGGTACAATTTTCATTAGACAATTAAAAAAATTTATGTTAAAATTTTATTTATTCAATTAAACAAATGCAGGATTTTGAAGGACATTAGGAAATAAGGTCATGAATAACTGTCGATGACGTTATAGTACGGTGTCATTGTCCTTCAATGTGTTTAAGGATCACCTGGGTTTCGTAAGAAATTAATCTAAAATATGTACCTTTGGAAAAAAGGAAACTAAAAGCTTCCACTTTTTTAAACTTCAATTTGACGCTTGTAACCCTCTTTTACTTATAGTTTATTTTAATAATGATTCGTCAGATTTTAATGACATTTTTGTTTCTTTCCTGCATATATATTTTACAAATAAAGTTTCTATTTTGGCATCATTATGTTTTGAATAAAAGGATATATTAAGGACGGCGATAACACTTATTGGTCTCGATATAGGTTGAGTAGTTTGAACTTAGGTGTCAGTATAAATTTGTTCAACATCATTTTTTAACCGAAAAAAAATTGTGTATGGCACATAAAATATATCAATCGTGTTGATACTTTGAAGAAATTGTGATTCAAAAGTTATAATAAAAAAAAATAATTTTGTGGACATTTATGTAAAATGAAAAGCAAGATAATATAAAAGTATGGTGAGTTAGTAAAACAGTTATTAATGAACGATTGAGCTTGTAAAACTAAGCGCAAATGGCGCTGCAGGTCAAAATTTACCGCATGACTTCCAACTGATTTTTATGCCTAAGCTTTAAATAATATTGTGCCATCCAACAGGGCCGGATTAACCGCACGTGAGGTCCAAGGCCATTCAAATTTTTGGGGCCCTTAGATTAAATTTTTTTCTCTCGTATATTTTTTATTTATTCAAATATAAAAGTATTTATATATCTTTTCATTTAAGAAAGCATATTTAAAATAAATAATAATAAATTAAATTTTACTTTATTTTGTTAAATTCGAACTAAAAAATAATCATAAAATTTTGAACAATCATTGTTTTTTTTATTTTTTTCAAATTTATTTTCAAAAAATCCATTTTAAGGGGGTCCTTAATCATTGGGGGCCCCAGGCCATGGCCTAGTCTGGCCTAATGGGTAATCCAGCCCTGCGGTCGGGCGTTGTATTGCTGAAACGTAGCGTTATGGAGGCCTCGAAGAGGAGGCAGAGCAACTGACCCTAACACATCAGAAATGTAACGGCTGCTGTTCAAAGTGCCAGCAATGCGAACAAGAGCTGATCGAGACGTGTATCCAATGGCATACCATTACTCCAGGTGATGGGCCAGTATCACGATGTCGAATGCAAGTTGCCAATGGGCGTTGTTTTCCACGATATCACCAAACACGGATGTGGCCATCATGATGATGCATACAGAACCTGGATTCGTCTGAAAAGACGACGCTATGCCATTCCAGATTCAACGCCTGCGTCCAGGTTCGTCGTTGATCACACCATTGGAGGCGCTCATGTCTGTGCTGCAGCGTCAAGGGTAGCCGAAGCCATGGTCGCCGTGCAGACTGTCCATGCTGCTGCAAACGTCGACGAACTGTTCGTGCAGACAATTGTTGTCTTGCAAATGACCCCATTGGTTGACTCAGGGATTGTGAGGTAGCTGTACGATCCCTTAAGGCTATGGCTCCTCTTAAGGCCATGTGGATAACATGTCTGTCTTCTCAGCTGTTAGTGATGGGGGCCCGCTGATCAGTTCCATATGACGGTCATTTTTCTACCTAAATATTAAATTTGCAGCCATGCTGACGCTCAATGTACCAAGCAGAGTGGGCAAGGCGGGTGATCGCCCTGATTACCAGGTAAGGGGGGTGCTGAACGAGACCCAGATTTAATGATCTGTAAATTATTTATTTCCTTCTTTTTTAAAATATTGTTCGCTTAAAAAATAAATTTATGGGTTATTTTTTATTAATTGTATATTCTTAGGTTAACTTTTTTTTTTATGGTCAACGTTCTCTAAGTAAATTTTTTTACTAAAGATGGAAAGAAGATGGCTGTGGCAGAAAAAAATCTTTTCTTTTAAGATTTAAGGTTCACGAAGCCATTCAACAAACAGGTCAATATTCTCAAAAGGTAATATCCTCGCAAGAGAAAAAAGGAGTGACCTAGACCATGAGTCAAATTTTGTNTCATTTTCCGGGGGTTTGTCACGTGGACTATGAGTCAAACAGGAAATTCCTTTCTTATCTTAGATAGTCGTTTATAACTAGTAATTTTTAATAATACATATGTACAAAAAACAATTTTTTTGAACCCCGATTTTACGAATGACCCCGATTTAAGGAATAAAATTTCCGGTCCCGATGAATTCGTTAAATCGGGGTCCGACTGTATATATAATTGATAAATTTTTTATGTAGACTGCATTTTTACCTAGTGCTCTCGATCAGTAAAATTATGGTTAAGCAATGATCCAAGATTCAGAAAAAGAAAATGAGAGTTGAGTTAATAAAAATTTATCGGGAACAATGGATTCCTGTAATAACAGAACTAATTGAAGTGCCACTTGTAATCATACATACAATGCACCATTTCACCTCTATTAAAAGGAATAGAAGTTTTTAAAAAAGTTTAGTTTCACAGAATTTTATTGAGCTTTGCGATATTTTTCAAGTCCAAACTTCGTGGTTGTAACTCCATGTCTATGTCACTAAATAAAGACGTAATAGTCTGTAAAAATTCTTCTACAATCTCAGAAAAAACCCAACTATTTTTAACATCAAAAAAGCAATGTACCGGATTTAACAACAAAGTGACCTGTACTTTGCAATCACTGCCCTATATTTTACCTGCGCTGAACTTATATATTTTTAGAATTCTGGTCCAAATGGAAGTAGATAAAGTGATAGTATAGAATCGCAACATAATATTAAAGTGAGAAGGACAAAACTTGACGAATCATTAACAAGGAAGATGAGATTAGACATCGCCATTGGTAACTGAGAATAGGTTATAGGCATTTTTTCATCTTAATTGATTTTCCATAACATCGAGCTGGTTGTGATGCCATCAACCCCGCTTTCCTCAATCGTGTTTCGGAATTTGAAATAGTTTTCCCCCCCTAGATTAAGTATTAATTTGAAACTTCTAATGTTTATAATTATTTACTTCATTTTTGGTTAGAATTTTAAAAATAAATATAGTAATGTCGGTGATTCCAGGGAGCAACTCATATATTAACAAAATGAATGACATAAAAATTTTTACAAATTAAAGCTTAATTTTTAATTTTCTAAAAATTTTAGAAGGAATTAAGATCATTTAAATATATGTTATGTAGAAAGTATGATATCAATAGTTTAACTATAAAAATTGGGTCTTCAATGTTTTCACTTTTTGTGTTTTACGTCATGTCCCTGGAACTAATCGGATATTCGCTAGTGATGTCATCGTAGGTAAATCGTGGTACCGAAGACAATCAGGTTCTACACTCGCGCGTGACGTCACTTGCAATCCAAATAAATCTTTAAGTCACATGGTTAGGCATAATCATTTCACTTCTCGAGTTGAAAGTGCCTAATCGCGTGAGCAAAAAGCTTTTAAGCAACCAATTTTAAGATTCATTTACCCAGAGGTAATGTCGTGTGCATAAATAAGTGCGTTTTTGTAATTTTTACTGTAAATACTTTTTTTTCGACACTTGAATTATAATACAGCGCCTGCCTCATACTTATCGGCGAAGAATAAATTATGATTATTATGCTACACGAAATTATTATGGTTATGAAATTATTATGGTACACCTTTTGCACTATTTTGGATGACGAAGTGCTTCCCATTTTGTGCTAGTTTCACGGGTAAGATACACGTAACCAAGATAGTAACATTAACTGCTATGTTGCGAGCTCCAGCATGAATGAGTATTGTGATAATGGGGGTAACCGAATGAACTAGCCGGTCCAGAGCCCAGACCTGAATCTTATTGAGAACCTCTGACACGAGATGGATTGCTGAATTAAGGGATGTAAAAAACGCCCAATGGAACCTATATGTCTTCTCTAAGGTACACAAAAGTAAACAAAGAAAAATCAAAAATACATAAATAACAGAAAACATGTATAACTTTTCACGTACTTAATGTTTTGAGGGATATATCTATAATAAGTAATTATTTATTATTAATGTCATTTTAAATAACAAAATAAGACACCAAAACGTTCTCTGCATTAGCATTTAAAAAAAAGTATCCTTTGGATCTTAAATTGGGTATTTGCACTTCAAGAAGACCACGGATACTGACACATATGACTTATGACGTCAGCGCTAGCTGATAGTTTATAAACAAAATGGCGTGTTAAAATTGAGCAAAGTTTCTCCACATCCGTTAGAACGTTAATTAACGTGAAGTTAACTAAATGCAGCACCATACGCACATCAAATTTGTTGAAATGTAAATATTTTACTTCTACGTCTTTTACTTAACTTAGCTCTTTTATTTGTTTATATATTTCATGTAACCAGGACATATTTTTGTTTTGTGTACCTGGCAACTTTGATGCGTAATTAGTTTATTTATGTTCTACATGGCTTCGTGTCTGTCTTTGTGTTAAGTAAGAAATCTATAGTGAAAGAATTGGAATCCTTATGAAAGACTCTTTGTGAAAGAATTTAGAATGTATCGCTTAAAAGAATTGATACTTGACGGGATTGGCTTACTCGAAATGGAATGGAAAGAACAGTTACTAACGTAAACAAATTCCACGTTTCAACAACCAATTAAAATCGAGATACCCTCACTACGTCACTTGCAGGTATCCCATTTGTATCTTAGTTCGTGAAAATGTAATCACTATTTTAAAAATTATATAGGATTGTCCGTGTCTTCCTGTAAGCGTTGTCCGGTAATTTTTTCTTGTTTTAATAATTTTATTATATTGACAGGTATCAAGATAAGCATTGGAGCTGGTTTAAGAAGTAGCAGCTGATGTAAACTGACATAGAAGGCTGACACACAGCGCTCAAAGTATCAGCACTAAATAGTTCAATTACTGTACAAATTGTATATTTGAATCGTTAAAGAAATAAAATTAAAAAATTATTAAGTAGTTAATTGTCTCTTTTTGGTGTCAACTTTAGTTCCAAAACCTGAATTATTATTATAAAGCCGAGTTATTCACAATGTACTACAAGTTTGCTGCGAACTCTAATGTAAGTACTTTTTGGCTAGTATAGAGCATTAGAGTTCGAAAATAAAGTTTTTATTTTTTTTTAATTTTTTTAAATGCTATTCATTGATGTGTTTAATTTGCTAATAATTTAATTTTTATGTATTAATAGGCTCATGATTTTGCGGTTATTATATTATTTTCAATTACAAGTTAGTGATCGTTACCATTAGTAATTTTAAAAGTACCAATGTATTTAATTTAGCATATGACGGAACTTAATAATACAGTTAAGTTACTAATCTAGTTCAGCCTTACTCAAAGGTAAGTCTTGCAGAAAGAAAGCTCTTTTTTTTTTTTTTTTAAATATTTTACGAGCTTTAAATTTTGAAGATTGCTTCAGAATGGCTAATTTGTCTGACATTTTAAAAATAAAAGATACAATGAACAAATCGTAACGCGATCCTTAAAATTCTGAAATCCACTAGATAAAAATTATGAAATTTGGAAATTAATACTCTGAAAATTCATCCAATATTCTAAAAATTATTTTATATCAGGTAAATTTACAATAAGATATTTTCTTAATGGTACTTATTAAATAATAGTGCAATATAATTTTCTTTCAATCTCCCTTAAGTCATTAGCTTTGAAATTTCATTTTTAAGCCTTTTTATGCAATTATAAAATGTTTTTTTTCTTCTTTTTTTGTGAATAAAAGTATTTGCATTTAATAAGCTATTTGTTAAGTAAAAATTATATTTTCACAGCATGGCATAACTATTGCAAACTGATAATTTGGACCGAGATAATTTCATTTAATTTTAAAATAGTTAAAAATATGGCATGCTTAATATAAGTTATTTTAAAAGATGATAGTTTCAACTATTTTACAAAGAAGCTTATGGAATAACATAGTTAATCAATAAGTTATTTTAATCAGCAAACATTAATTCGTGATTATTCTTTCATTTTTATGGTGAACCTATTTGGTAGCCAAAATTGTATTGTTTTGGGTTACCAAAGTTGAGTTTTTATGGAAAAAAATATATAGTTTAAAATGCTTGTTTGAATGTTTTTGGTTAAAAGACCCTGATTTGGAAGGTTGATTTGGTTAAATACGCATAGCTCGATCTGAGTTTGAAAAAATTTATTTATAATAATAAAAATTAATGTATAGCTTGGATTGTTTGCTTAAAAAATAGACATAGAACAAGTAAATGGACATGCATAACATTTTTAATTTTTTAATTAATGTTTTGACTGTGACATTTTAAGGATTTATTAGGGAAAAATTAATGTTCATATTATTTAAAATACAAAAAGAAATTTTGCAAATTTGAAACAGACCTTTTTTAAAACAAACGTTGATGTTACAAAAATTATGTTGATTGTTTAGTAAAAATTATGTTGATTGTTATGTTGATTGTCTATATCCATTTTTTAAATGCTCATTTTAAGTAATGCCTATTTTTCAAACATATATTAGCTGAGCGCAAAGAGATTCAACTTTTTTTTTAAATTTGTTTATTTTATTTAATTTTTACACGTTTAAAAAGGGAATAAAATAAATAAAAGGATCGTTTGTTCCTTTGGCGGTAAATAGTTTTGAATACGTGCATTTAAAAACATCGAAAAATTAGTCATTCACTAAAGTTAATACACTATGCACTCATTGCTTTTCTAATGAAATTCTAATTTATACATTAGTATGGCCTTGGCGCTATTTTGAAATCTGTCTCAAAGAACGAAATGACGTGTTATTATTTCAGTAACTAATTTAAGTTAAAATGCATTTCTTATTTACTTAGCAAAGAAAAGTAGGTTCCATTGGAGTTACAACTTGTGCGCGTGTGTGTGGGGGGGAGGAGACATCTGTCTCCAGGAGCATTCTTAAAAGAGCGCCTAATTCATGAAAAATATTTAGAAATGAATTTCAGAATAAAATGCATTACTCTTTGAAATTTGCTAGTTACAAGCCTTATAACTTCAAAATTATATCCGATTTACCTAAAAATTGAACAGGATGTGTACCAAGCATGCTTGGGAACTAAACGCTGGGGGTTCCACGTTCGGCTGACCACCTGACCGGAACATCTGCTCCTGCACCCCGATGGGCACAGTAGACCTTGGCCCTCTATGGGCTGTCGCGCCGCTGAGTTTAGTTTATTTTACTATTATTGTAGTTTGCTTAGCACGTAGGTTATTTTAAAACGTATTTTTAGTAAATTGGCAACTTAATCAGCGAAAATTGTTTTTATAAATGCACATCATTCAAGTTAATGATAAGCGTTTGTTCTTTTGAAAATTTAACCCGAAAATACAGTAAGTAAAGAAACTATCTACATTAGTAACATACACCATTAAATTTTAAAATGAATCGAATAGAGATTAAAAATATCTAATATCTATAGATTAAAATATCTAAAAAATATTATTTAAAATTAAAAAATCTTATTCTGTATAAAATTTTATTATTCAATTCCAAGTGCAGTGTATTTCAGTTTGTAAATTCTAAAACCTAAAATCGGTGAACTTTTCCACCGATTTTGCTCAAATTTTGTATTTTGCCATGTATAATTATGTTCTTCAAAATGATAAAAAATTTTTATAACTTGGAATTCAAAACTTTTTCGACTATTATTAAATAAAATAATAAGAAACAATAAATATTTACGAAAAATTATTTTTTGCATGCAACAAATCCTTGGATAAGCTTATTTTATAATTCTAACTATGGGAATCATATTTCCGTTATTGTGATAACCCCCCATATTTAGGGAGTTAGAAATCCGAATCCGCTGAAAAACAGGTATGTTTATTCAAAGAAAGCACTTTTTTGTGTCTTACTTCGAAACTGAAAATATCGTTTGCGTTTTTTAATTAGCATAATTGAAGTCACCCTCTTGAAACTTTAAGATTGTGTTTAGAGCGTGAAAATCCGATCATTAATTCAAAAGTTATTGAGTGTGGTCCTTTCTTTTATTTTGCGCACTGTACATACTAGGATTAGAACATACTTTTGAGAACACTATTCAAACTGTTTCAGAGGAAGAATTTTCATTTCAACATTCTTAAGATATTTAAAAAAGTGCTGATAAAAGATTTCAGATATGGTTCTTTAATACAAAATTAGTACAGGTGTATAGATAGAGGTAAGATTATCATTCTGAGTTTCGTTTTGAATAACAGAATTTTCTAGATAATGTATATATTTAAAAGCTTGCTTTTCTTTTTCGAACTTTGCTTTTTCTTTTGTATAAATACAATCTTATAAACTCTTCTTAAAAAAAAAAGTAATATTTTTGAAATAGTTGTTAGAAAAATCGGTGCCTAATCTTAATTTCTTCAAGAAATTACAGTTTGTGCAAATCTTGAATTAAAATAAATAATACAATTTCTGAAAGTTTTGCCTTTAAAACAAATATAAATAATTATGGGATATTAAAATTCCGAATGAAATGGAAATTAATAATGCAATGCAAGAATACATTGTTGATATTGATTTATAATCATACGAAAAATTTTCGCATCCGGTAATGATTAAAAAACTGGTAGTAAAACCATTTCATTTTTACCGTATTTTAGAGAAGTATAGCATCCATGGCTGCTATGATATTTTAATCGATATGTTAATATATTACTCGATATATTAATGTATTAATCAATATATTAATCTATAGGATGTTGGTGATAAAGGCTGGTACTTTTATTAAAACTGTATTAATTTTATATTAATTTAATGCTTTTTAATAATTATTGACATCACTCTCTTTCAAATAGGTCCAGAAATAGCTGTTATATCGTAATTTAAAAATTTGGCGGCCAACTTGGTGAGTTAATCGGAAAGTTGGTCGATTAATGATGTTCCTACTTTCTCGCCAAGTTGGTAACCGTTGTACTTAAACACCCTTACATAAATGTACAAACGCGTTCACGTATTGTGAAAATTTAAAAAATTTTTATCTATAGTTAGTACTTTGAAAAAGATGAAGTTGTTTAGCAACTATAATAAAGTTTATGCTCGAAATAAAAAGAAGAAAAATAGATTAAATTCGAATGAGAGTGGAGCCTTAGTTTCATTAATTTTGTTAGTAATAAAGTGCTTGGATGTTATTTGTTGGTAAAATGGTAACTTCATTTAGCTATTTGCATTATTTCTCTTACTTATGGTATTTCATTTCCTTTAAAGTGCTGCATCTTATTCATTATGATCAACGATGAGTTTCAAAAGTTGTTTAATTCTAGCAACTCAAACATGGAAATCTCAAAGAAAAAGAAGATTAAATTTTAGCACAGAATTTCTTGACGATGGAATTGGTTTTGAGTGAAAGCCATAATATTACATTTTTCCGGTTAAGATAAAATTTTTTCTTAGTAGCAAATATTATTTTGAAGAAACATTTTTATAATGATTTAACATAAAATATATTAGTTTTCGAAAATGAAAAATATTAGAATTTTTTTAATATATATTTTAATTAAAATACAAGTACTTTGGTTTCTGCAATTCGAAAAGAAGAAGATCGCTGGAATCAGATAGTTGTGTATAAAAAAGATTTAACTGATAAATGGAAGAAAAAAAGTTACTAACATAAACAAATGCTGCGATTCATTAGCAGCTAATCAGGTCCGGCACCCATATGTGACGTTGCTTGTAGATATCCAATGGGATACGGCAAGTGATGTAGTGTGGGTATCTCGATCCTGATTGGTTGTTGAAACGTGGCATTTGTTTACGTTAGCAACTGCTCTTTCCATTCTATTTCGAGTAATCCACGCTCGTCGTAAGCCAAGTATCAGTTCTCCTAAGTGACACATTCTATATTCTTACGCAAAGATTCTTTCACAAAGATTTAAATTATTTATATTTCTTAACACAAAAACAATCAAGAAGAAATGCAGAACATAAACAGAATAATTATGCATTGAGGTTGCTAGGTATACAAAACAAAAATATGTCACGGTTACAATAAAATACATAAATAAATCATAATCTAAGTTAAGTAAAAGATGTAGACGAGATAGAATTACACTTCAATAAATTCGATGTGCGATACTGTGCTGTATTTAATTAATTTCAGGTTAATTAACATTCGAATTTATGAGGAAAAACTTAGCTCAACTAACTCGCCATTTTGGATATAAACGATCAGCTGGAGCAGACGACATAGGTCTCATGTGTGGGTATTGTGATCTTCTTCATCGAAGTGCAAGTACCCAATTCTTGCCGGAATGATCTTAAAATTTAAAACGCTGATTTATAATTAAATTGAGTACTTACAACACGCGAAGAAGTGAAGTGATTATGCCTGACCACTTGATTTAAATGAGATTTAATTGGATATTTATAAGCGACGTCACGGGTGTGTGTCGAACCTGATTTGCTTCTAAATAGACAAATGCTACGATATGCATATGATGATGTCACTTGCAGACATCCAATTGAACGAAATGTAATTATTTTTTCTAAACAATGCCAAAGGTGCCAATTATGATATAATTTTTTATCCTGTGTAGTGGAGTTGGTTTGTTCCGTTTTAAGCGGTTGGGTTACAAAGTGGCATATTAAGCGTACATTCTTCTCTTTTAAAAAAAATGTTACTGAACTCGGTTACTAAGGTAGAAAGGTTACTAAGATCAAGAAAGCTAGGATGTGATCATAATCAAAAAGTATTATTTTTTTTTAAACTTTCTTTTTCTTTTATTAATTATAGGCGTGCTCTACTTCAAATTGGTTATTCGAAAATAAAGGCTGTATTTTTTTCAGCTCATTCAAAATTCATTGACTTCATCATGATAATTATTACTAGTCAAAGATCGAATACGACGATTGCCAACCTGACTGAAACTGGCTCAAAATTCGGTCAAAACTATCAGCACTCTAACAGCACCAAATTTACAATCTGGAATGCAGTTTTGATCTACGTGGGCCTAAAACTAATTCTTATTGCCTTCATTCTCACCTTTTGGTTATTGATGTGTTGCAAAGAATTGAATTCGTGCAATTGGATTAAAAACTGGGAGTTTGGTAGATTCATAAGCAGAATTTTGATCGGTGGACATCGACCCATCGGTATTCCTGATCATCAGCCCGGGAATCCAGTGAATGTCCAAGAAGGAAATCCAACATTTTTACACGGTTCTGGGGATCATGTCTAAAAATATTTACTGCCTCCTATAAATGTAACTGTTCATTATAATTGCTGTAATACTTAAAGTTAATAAACTATCTTGATTTAACTAGAATGGAGCTAATATATTTCTAAAACATCGTTTGAATGCACTGTAAATGGAAGAGTTGTTCTATTTTTGAATTAGCCATTGGTTAAATAAAAGTTCTATTTTATTTTCAGCTTTCCGGTTTTTGCCCTTTTTGAATTTAACCATGATGATTACATCTGATCAAATAGTGAATGCGACAATTTCCAATTTGACTGATTTTGGCTTGAAAATTGGTCAGAAGTATCAGCATATAAACAGCACGGACTGGACAAGCATCCGGAATGCAGCTCTGATTAACGAAGGTTTAAAATTGATGTTCTTTGTCTCAATTCTTGCTGTTTTGTTACTGGTCTGCTGCAAGGAATTGAATCCGTACAATTGGCTTAAAAACTGTGTAACTGGCAGAAGATCCGCAAGTAGAACATGGATCGGCAGAGGACATCAGCAACAACTTGAGGGTCCATTAAATGTCCAAGAAAGAAATCGGGACTTTTTGCTCGCTACTGGTGACCATATTTAATTTTTTCCCCCTGCGACATGTCAATGTTACTGTTTGTTCACTATAATTGCTGTAGAAATTTGAAATAATAAATTATTCTGATCTAAATAGAATGGCTTTAGTATGAAATGATAATAAGCAAAAATTACACAGAACATTGCTTGAATACATTATTAATTGAACCGTTGTTCTACTTTCTGTTGGATATTGTTTAGTAAAAGTTCTATTTCATTTTCAGCTCTGAACTTCACCATGATGATTATATCCGATCAAATAGAGAATACGACAATTTCGAACCTTACAGATTTTGGCTGGAAGTTTGGTCAGAAGTACCAGCATATTAACAGCACCAACTGGGTAAACATCCGGAATGCAGCTCTGATTACCGAAGGTTTGAAACTAGTGTTCTTTGTCTCAATTGTCGTATTTTTGTTACTGATGTGCTGCAACGAATGGAATCCATACACTTGTCTTAAAAATTGTGTGTATGGTAGAAGTTCCACCAGCAGAATATGGTTCGGTAGAGGAAATCAGCAAGAGCTCGAAGATCCAGTGAATGTTGAAGAGGGAAATCGGACACTTTTGCATGCTGCTGGAGATCATGCTTAAGATAAACTTCTGAGACCTATTAGTGTTATCAATTGTTTATAAAAATTGCTGTAATGTTTTGGATTCATTTGATTTAAACAAAATGGAGCTACAATGCATTGCTAATATCTAAACACTGAATGAAATATTGTTTGAACCCCCGATCAAATAAAAACTTAACTGTGACTGCGCATCTGTATGGATTGTTGGTTTAGAATGCACATGATGCTTAGAACTTAAGGCTTATTAATGTAAGAACCCACTTGTTACTTCTTATCAATTTGCTAGGCAAAGTTAATACTGTATATTGTACTACTAGTACTCCTTTGCTGATCATTATACGAAATTTACAAAAAAAAAAAAGCTTTTGAAAAATAAATTAACCCTTTATTTATCAAATTATTAAACAAAAATATTTTAATTTGGCAAGCAGAAAAAAACTTTTTTCCAATCGGGAGTGCCATCTCTTGACAACATTTATTATTAATTTCGAAGTTAGGCGAAAATTTATTTTATTTATTAATTGAGTTTGAGCACTCAATTTATTTATTGGGCTTGAGTGCTCAGTATCAAGAATGGCTTATAAGCCCTTGTAAAATACAAACACAGAATGCACACATTTGAGAAGGACAGCGAAAAAATATATTAAGGGTTACGGCAGGTTGTTGTTAATTTACGTCGCACTAGAGCTGCACAATGGGCTATTGGCGACGGTCTGGGAAACATCCCGGAGGATGATCCGAAGACATGCCATCACAATTTTGATCCTCTGCGGAGGGGATGGCACCCCTGCTTCGGTAGCCCGACGACCTGCGCGCGAAGTCGAGCACTTTACGGTAGCACAGTTTAACGAGGACCAATACCGCACACCCTCGGTCCCTACGCAGACTGATCCAAGTGGTCACCCACCCGCACACTGACCGTAGCCAGTGATGCTTGACTTCGGTGATCTGCTGAGAACCGTGTCTTAACGATTAGCCCACTGCGGGACAAGGGTTACGGCAGGATTTGACACACAGCTCTTTTGCTTTAAAGAATTTGACGAAACGGCGATACCGCTCAACCAGTGAAGCCCCACTTTTCTGGTAATAAAAATCTCGCTTCTTGAGCAGAACGCAGCAAACCATAAATTTCTTTCTTCCGTTTTTCTAATTGATCTTCCGAATCATCAGTCACGTTTAGGATACCTGGTTTAATGTTTAGCAACTTAGGGATGCGAATTGTTTTGCTTCTAGCAAAGCAACAAGCGTTAACATGTTGAAACCTGTATATAGGCCAGAAAGTTTACTTATCAAATATGTTAGGGATTCTAAACAACAGCCTATACGTGATAAGAAAATTTAAATTTCATTTGTTTATTGCGTGCATAAATCTGTAGGCTTGAGTTTTCAGTGAAAAAGAACGGTTCATTTATAGGCAGCGATTATTAGTACGGATGATAAGGAGAGATTGGAACACACTCCAATCATCAGAGACGATGGGAATCGAACCCTTTACCTTAACGCTTCTAAGCGTTTTGAGAAGGTAATTTAACCACATGACGACAGTTTCCTTTTTTTTTAAAATTTGCTCAATTATCTTGATGACTCAAATATTAAAACAGTGCTGGGCTTTTCATCAAACTTGCAACTTTCCATTTCTCATAAAAAATGTCAGCCATGAGTTAAAAAAAATAACAATCCAGTCAACCAATTTCTCTTCGCACTGTCTATTCTATTTGCGTCGCACCAGAGCTTACTATGGGTTGTTGGCGATGGCCTCCAAATATATTAGAGAGCGATCAGAATACATGCCATCCCAATTTTGATCCTGTGCAGAAGGGATGACACCCTCGTTTAGTGGCCCGACGACCATACTTGCGAAGTCAAGCACTTTACGATCAAACAGTTTAACGATGACTGATACCGCACACCCTCGGTCCCTTTGCAGATCAAAGTGGTCACCACGCTCACCTACCGCGGCTAGAGATGCTTCACTTTGCTGATCGACTGGAATCTGTGTTCTAACTCTTTGGGACAAAGTTAGAAAAAGAGGACAACATCTCAGGTACCGATCACTTCTTTTTATCTGTATTAACAATAAGTGGTTTCGATATATATGATCGGGGCAGAAATAGGTAGCTGGAAGAGTTTTTAATCTTATAAACGAATTAAAAAATCGTTTTAAAAATTAGATCTCCATGCACCATGAAATGAAAAATAAATAAAAAATATGGATCCTAAATTATTTAATACCGAAAAGATTTCAATTAACTAGTTTTCAAGAATATTTAATACTAGTATTCTAAAAATTTTTTTTTGAAAATAAGCAATAAGTTATGATATAATGTTCACATGCAACGTATTTTTAAAGTTTCATATGCACTATTTTAAATAAGTTTTGCCAGTTGAATGCAATATTCTAATAATCTTTCTGATCAGTATTTCAAATAGCTTTCGAAATGTTTTCAGATTGTTCACAATTTTTATCCATTAATTTCAAATTTTTGTTGGGAAATGATTCTTTTAAAAAGCATTTCCTGAAAATTTGAACTTTCAACTTCACGTTAGCAATTTGAAATTTTACGTTTCTACGAGCAAGCATTGATTATTACGAAACTAAAAAGTATTATATCTAACCTATGTTTTATTTATTTTAAAAGCCAAGTCTTTCCAAGAAAATTTATCGTGTTCTTTAATCAACTAATCTGGAAGATAAGACAAATCCCATTTAAAGCGGCAAACATAAACAGATCCTCCAATTATAATTTAAACAAAACGAGACAATCACGTGACGATTTTTTTCCTTCATATTTTTGTTACATAATCTGGGAAAACTGATTAAAAACACGTGAATGCAAAAGTGTAAAGTTACTTAGTTTTGAAAACTCTGCGAAATTAAAATTCTATTTATAATTTAGATGGCATTATCAAGAAAAAAGGACAAAATTTGTAACATTCTGATTTATTTTCACGATAGAACATTTATATCAAAAATGTGCAAACGATTTTTTTTGGAACTATAACGGTTTTTAAAATGTTCTTTTCGTTGAAACTGAAAGCAACAAAACACGTCATATTCAAGAGGCGGGTTTTTCTTTTTCATACCTAACTCTCATCTAACATTCCTGATATTGAAGCAGGTGTTTTAGAAGAGAAAATAGTCCAGGTGAGTTATACTTCGTCAAGCGATGGTGTGATAAAAAGTAGACATCAGCGTGTGATTTCTGGATTTGGTTACGATAGAACACAGACGCAAATGTGATTCCTGCGAAGAAAAATAACCTTGGTATGTACTGGTTATTTAAATTTCTACTGTAAAATGATACTTAACTACAAATTTATTTATCTTTCGTAACTCTTTCGTATTTAATTAAAGGAAAACGTAACAATAATTATAGTCTATCAATTATGCTCTTAAATCAGTTGCAGTTACTTCGTAAAAAATAGGAACAGAGAAACCGAATTTATTTATTTTGCGGGATGAAATGCAGTGACGTAGTATGAGGGATGTAAGAAGGTCCCCGGGCGCAGTCTGAAAGGTCTAATTCATGTTTATAAATGTACTAATGCACATTATAATTAAAAAATTAATTCAAGAATAAAATGCATATGAATGGATTTTGATTTTTCCCATCTTATGTTTTAAATTATTCTGAAACTATTTTTTGTTAATGAGCTTATAAATAGATATTTGCTTTTCCTTTAAAATGTGTGATAATTGAATACTGAAAATGCTCTACGGATGAGGCAATTCTTGCTACTGGAAAGAGAGCTCAATTTATGAATCTTGATTTTTTTCTCCTCTCAAAATAATAATTTAAAAATTTGCACAATTTTATTTGAAAATAAATTTGTAAAAAGAGCGTAGACCACATGAAAATGGTATCAGTTTGCGTTTACAAAGACCGAGGAAAATGTTTATAAATTGGTTTACTTGTTTTTTTTCTATTGGTTTTGTCGAATTTTGTTGAAAAGTCGTAAAAAAGCTCAAAATTCCTGAAACTGGTTTGAAACAAAAATCTACATTTACATAGGAAACTCATTTTATGAGCCAATATTCAATGAGCCCAATAAAGTTAAATTTTCAGGGTGGTATTTGTTCAATTGTACTGTTAAATATTTTTGAAGTACATTTTTTTACGTGCATTCAAATTCCTTGATTACGTATTTTGTGTTATTCAAATATATCCTAGAAGTATTATTCATTAACTTAATCATTTTATTTTATCCTCTCTTAAGTCCAAAACCCAACCCTAGCCATAGCTTTTAATTCAAAATAATAATGGAAAACATGAATCTGGGATCACCAGGTTAAGCGGTCCTTTTATTTTGATAAACGCTTTGTAGTGTGGTGGTAGCGGGTTCGAATCCCACAGTAACCCTGGATCCATCTTTGTGATGTCTTTTTCTAACTTGTGTTATCCTTTCTTCTTGACAAAAGCAAATAAGCCTTGTAATGAGCACACAGGCCTGTATCCGTATTAGAAACAATAAATTAATAAATATAGCATAACTTCTTAAATCTGACATGATATTGTTAAAGGTATGCTAAAACTGTATTTGTTCTTGGGTGCTGTAAATCGTAACTGCGCCCTTGGCTATTTTTGTTCTCACAGTGAACACGGTTCCCCATCAAGCATCACAGCCGCGGTGACTTTGGGAGGGGATATGTTTATAAAAGTTTTCTAGAACAACTAGTTCTGGAATTGAAAGACAAATACAAAGACGTACTAAGTTTTATTTTTATTATTACATATTATATAGATTATTAAGATATTGTTATAGATATATATATATTGTTATAGATATAAATATAGTTATATAACTGCTCAGAAATATAGACAGGGTGTACAAAAAGGAAATGAGCTTGATGATTTACATTTGATACCACTGAATGTATCTTTTGAAAATATTTCTTATCTGTAATTTTAAATTATTCATACGATGCATATTTTTAGAGATATTTGACCATTATTCATACTTCTTTGTTTTCTTGCATGGCAGTCAATGTTACAATGTAATTAACTGGCTTAACACTTAAATAAGCCAGTTAAAATTAAAATATTTTGAGAACTTGTCATAATGTGACAAAATTATTTTAGATTAAATGTAATAGTCGGTAATAATTAACAACATCCGTAGTTATCATTTTTATTGATCACTTATATTATTTTAATGTAACCAAAATATTAACAATAGTAGTAACAATTTCTCAATTTAGACAATTATTAATAATAATCATTCAATGTTATAAAACGGCATTATTTAAATTTTTAACAAAGGCGTGTTTTTTTTTGATAATTACTATTATAATAACCGGAATAGTTACGTATATGTGAAAAATGAATTTTATATGATTAAATTTTATTTAAAGGAAATAATAACTAATTTAGAACGTTTTCATGAACATTTCCACGTGCTTTATAAGAAATATGCCTAAATTAGGTTTATATTCACTTACTATAGAATAATTGATAACCTATATAATTTGTTACACAAAAAGTATCCCGATATGCGAATTTCATTCAAAAATAAAATAAAATTTTATTGATAAAACGATTCTACAAAAGTCACTTTTTCAAAATCGTTTTCTAAAGTTGAATTAAAATGATTTTTTTTTAAATTTAAGCTCAATTAAGCCTAATTTTGTTTTGAAATAAAGCAGGACTTATTTAAGATATTTTTGAGTAAGCAAATATTTCTAAATAAATAAAATCTGTCTGTAACTTATATCATATAGAAAATATGAATATTTCTACTTCCAAAATTTTGAGAAAGGTAAACTTTGAATAAATATTTATTTAAACACAACTTCCAGTACTAGTACATAATTTCCTTATTTTATTTATAATACATATAAATTTTAAGTATTTATTATTACTTTTATTATTATTTGTTATTACTTTTATTATTATTTATTATTACTTTTATTATTATTTATTATTACTTTTATTATTATTTATTATTACTTTTATAATACTTATAAATTACTATTAATAACTGACAATATTTTTACTAACTTGACATTAATTTTAATAATAACTGGTATTGTTATTCTATAACACCTGCTTAAATAATAATTGAAAATTATAAAATTATATTTTATAATAATATTTGAAATAAAGTGAATAGTTAATAAAATATCGAATAATATTTAATAATCATAATTTTATGGTAATAATAATTAATTGATGATATATAATACTAGTAATTAACAGAGTTGGCCGTTGATTACAGTAATCGATTACAACTGTAATTGATTACAGATAATTCCAGCTATGTAATCAATTACTTGTAATCACGATTACAAGTAATCAATTACTTGTAATCGTGATTACAACTTTCAAAAAATTTTGATTACAGCTGTAATCATGATTACAATTTTGATTACAGTAATCAATTACTTGTAATC